TAGCGATGTAAACGTGAAAGAAACATAAATAAATCCTACTAATATTATAAACGCGAAATATTGTGAGTAAGGATGGATGTTTGTTACGATGCAAAAACTACTGCACGGATTTTGATGAAACTTTAAAGTAATATAGATTATACATCACAATAACACATAGGCTATAAATTTTACGAAGGTCACGGGCACAGCTAGTAAAATATATATGTTGAAAATCGCAATTGGCGTCCAGCCAGTCCATAGGACACAGAGATCTGAAATCGGAATAATTGGTAAACATACGACGATACTGCCATTTTACCATAAGACAAGTATAAGTAGTAGCACGGAATAGAATAGAATAGAATAGAAAATCATTTATTCAAATAAACTTAATTTAAGCACTTTTGAATAGTCAACATTTTTTTTAAATCTACCGCTTATTCGGAAAGCTGTCTCATCACAGGAAGAATAAGCAAGAAACTTGTGTGTTGCTCTTTTAAACAATCCTTGTAAGTTCACATTTTACAAGTCGAAACGTGTGAATACAAACTGCCAACCAGCACTAATTTATTTAGGCTCAAATATAAAAACACAATAAGATTAAATCAGTCGTAGTGATAAGAGCAGACCAGTCCCTACAAGCAGCACTCGTTCACGAGTATGACGGATGAGCCAGCCATCACTGAGCTCGACCATATTTTAGGGAGCCCAATGACCCGGCCCACCACGCCACCACATGTCTGGACATTTTAGTGAGCATGACTACACATTCCACTCGACCACGTCACAGCTACAAAAATTACTATATAAGTCTACTGGCTAATTTTGAAATATGGGGCCCCCATTGTAACTTCGAGTCCACTGTTATTCCTAAAAAAACTGTATCATTAACAAAATTTACTATTTCATCATTAAGCAATAGCTGCGTATTTACTTGTCTTATATTAGGAAGCGTGAATTTAATGCACTTAGTTTTGTTGGAGTTTAATAATGGATTATTACATGTGAACCAATTTAATATAGCAGAGATAGCATAATTTACATCGTGTAATTGATTACATTGGCGACCAATTTTAAACACTAACGAAGTATCATCCGAAAATAACACTATATCTGCAACTTTCTCTACCATGTAGGGAAGGTCATTTATATAAATTAAAAAAAGAAATGGGCCCAATATTGAACCTTGAGGAACGCCCATTTTTATATTAGTTCCCTTAGACTTTACACCACCAGTATCTACAGTTTGCACCCTATCCTCTAGATAAGTTTTCATTAGACTTAGGTCATTATCTCTAGTACCATAATGTTCGAGCTTATACAAAAGTGTTTTATGATCTACGCAATCAAACGCCTTCGATAAGTCACAAAAAACGCCGAGAGCATCCAGATAACATAATATTACATAGTAGTAGTAAGTATACTTTTTTATAAGTATATTTGTCCTTATAATTAAAAATAAAAACGCGTTGAACCTATATATACAATATAACGCACTACCGCCGTCTGCAAATCGAAATATGCAAGTGAACATAACCTTGACATTCAACACAACTTACCCTAATCCGTTACGAAACATTTTGACAGCTGGCAGGCAAATTAATGAATAAGTGTATGACGCATACTTGTATATGTTTAAATTATTATGTATTGACTACAAACTCGAGTTCAATTCACTTTATAAAAGAGCATTTTATTCAACGATATTTTTTGCCTGAATGTTTTGATAGCTATTTCGCAATCAGAGTATTGGTCCTATTCTATAATAATTACTTTAGGATTGAAGTTGTGGCTAAAGCATGTACAATTTATGTACCTGTGTGTTTATTATAACAAAATATAATTATTATTGTATTTCTAATATGATCATAGAGTAAGAGTTTATAATTCTTATTTATCAGTAATGTGAGTGGAATGATCGATACTAAGATAAGTATGTAGCAAAGCATAGACAATTCTTTTCATATGAAAATTATCTATTGACCTAGATAATAAATAAAAAACGAATATTTGACGTCTTTTCCCTTAGTTTCAAATACTATAGCCCTTCTGCTTTTAGAAAAGACGATACTATTGTGGTTGGGGTCAGTGCCCCCTATTGTGTCCGTTGAGCAACAACCGCCTGCAATGTGATACAGCAATTAATTGTGGGACAGCGTGCGTCGACCGAGGAATATCAGGCGGCACTATCTCAGAGCCTCGCGGCTCCTATAAACAGCTACACAGCATCCATTCATCCCGAGTCACGCCTCGCGAGCTTTGAAAATCGATAAACGTCTGTTTTTGTTCAAAGTGATATCATTACGGACATATCTAGTTTTAAATTGAAAGGTATGTGGGTTAGTTTTTCATAATGCGAAGTTTATTCATTGTTATAAAGTCTAGTCTAGGTACATAACATATTTTATTCAATTAAGAAATAAATTAATATGTAATCGATTATTTTTGTAAGCAATATAATTGATTTTTAATTGATATAACTTAATATTCAATTTAGATTTGTTTCGATAAAACTTGACTGTGAAAAAATTTGATTATTTGGAATATAAAAATACCTCTATCGAGTTCATTAATAAAATCGATTATATCGATTTTATCATATACCTACTTGAGAAGGAGAGAGATCAAGACAAGATGAACAAAGAAAACACCTGTATAGTCATAAAATATTGTCACTTATGTCACATATGTAAAAACAATATACCTAGTTATTATAAAAACATAGATAATAAAATAGGTATGAAACAGTTTCCAACACTACTTAAATCTATTAAATTGTATTGTAAAGAAGTCGTTTATGTCTGAATGAGCCACGCTCATCTCTTGTTTGCCAGACCAGGCTGAAAGCTTACCGAATTATATGTATTTATTGGTAAGCTTAACAAATGATGCCGGAATTTTATTGTAAGTTTCACTTTCAATAAAAACCAATTACCTACCTTAATTTACGATTTAGGCGGGATAGAAAGCGGGACAATAGTATAGATAAATCAACTACAGTTTAGCTGACCAGTATAGTTATTGAATAGAATCTTTCATTCAATCAGAAAAATCTAACATATACTTTAAGAAAATGCGATAGTGTGTTACTCTTTTTTACCTTGTTATAATTAAACAACTGAACAGTACTGATTAAATATGACGTGAAGGTATCATAAGGAAGGATATGGGCTAACATTTATTTAAAAAAAGCAGACGAAGTTGCAGGTAATAGCTAGTATAGAATATTTACAAGCAAAGGTTATTTAGCAGAGACCTCTCAGTTTGGAAAGTCATGCTAAGGAACATGATGACCTCACGTGTTCATGTACCTCAGCAATAAGGCAGAAGGTCTAATAAGCATGTGAATACTGGTGAACCGGAATTATATTAAAAGTATACATGTATACTGTACCTATATTACTATTTCATTTTGAAAATTATATAGCCAAAATTATATTGGTTTTAGAAATGTTAATGCAAACAATGGTGCTGCATATACTAGTTGACGTAATAAATAAATTATTCGCACACTTCCTCCTTTCCACTTGTTCAACTTTATTAATTTGTATCTAATAAATAAACACAACTGTATAACTTTAGTAATAGAACCAGCCAAGTCTTTTGTAATATATTAAATAGATAGTGACGATATTACAGTAAAAATAAAATATTCATAAAGTACCTAACCCAGGTAGTAGGTACCTAACCCAAATAATAGATAAAAATATCCGTATTTATAAAGAACTAATAATACTATTTCTAGACAATTCACATGGCGGTATCTAGTCCCAAGCTAAGCAGGACTTGTGTTATGGGTACTAGACACGTGACAAATATACTTAAATGTATTTTTTGTAAAAAGTACAAGCATAAATATAAAAAAAACACTCAGACCAATACCAACAATGACTCTTGTGCGAGCAATCAAACCTGCGACTATCGGAAGCTAAAGCGGTAGACTGCCGAAGCCGTGATAAATAAATAAAAAATAAGCCTAACATTATATTATTAATAATATATGTTTTTAAGTGAGGAACATAAATTGGTAAGGTATGAGTAGGCAAAGGCCTTAAATCTTTAGGTTAGTGTGATAATATATTACGGCACCATCTAAGGTAAGGTAAGATATTTGTTACTTCTATAACCTTCGACCACAAAAACGCCGACAACGCTCCGGAGATAGGACTTTTTTATATTGTTCGAATTCTTATCCATCCACACAGAAACCGGGCAGGAAATACTTTACACTGTGTAGCTGGATACATAACATTTCAAACATTACATTAATTCCCGCCTTCGGAACGCTCTCGGTTCCGTCTTCGTGTGACTTACTGGTCTACTCTGGATACTAATTGCTATCCAATGACATTGCAATCCGCCGTTTCGTGCCTTTTTACCCCTACTGAATTATAAACGAGTAATAATGTATTAATACATATTTCGTGTTCAATGAAAGAACTGACATTGTTATCGTTTTCTTTACTCATGATTACATTTCAAAAGAATAGTACAAAAATGAATTGCATCGAAATTTATATTGAAACTAACTGATCCCACAAACGTTGTTTTGCCATACAAATTAAAATCGCTATTAAAAAATAGGGGTAGAAGGTAGAAGGGTGAAATTTAGTGTTGTTATGTATAGTTGTTTACATTATAAAAAAATTCCAGACCTATTAACTGTACACATAAAACATTTTATAAAAACAAACCACTTCGGAGGAGTATGGTGACCAACATTGTGACAAGAGGACTTTATATATGAGAAGACTAGACACCAAAGTAGAAGCTACTCGTTGGTACCTACAGTAAATTCGTGAAGAAGATTGAATTGTTAATCAATCACACATTGTGACAACATAGAGGACGTTTATATAGATAAGACTATCACAACTTTTTCAAAGTAGCAAGTTTTCCATTTTAAAGCGTGGCACAATGCTAGTTGGTAAACCTACAATACCTTAGTCCTCAAATGAAAACGGACATATGAAGAAGATTTGTATAAAATGAACTATAAGTTAAAAGCAATTACTCACCTTCCTTGCGAAACCACTGATACTGCTTGCAGTGCTCTCCGCGTCGTAATGACGAGAAAAGGTATACGGGCCCGGATGATTCCGGGACACGCATTGCCCCATATGCACGCTGCACTACTTCAGTCCATTCACATAGGTCACCAAAAAGTAATATCATATACACGACACCACTGACAATAACCACTGCTCTGAGAACTTAAAGGAACTTCCTCACCTTTGGGTACCTTTCCTAATATGCAGGCAACAAATTTTATAGGTACCTACAAAATTTCGTGACTTCTAATTCAAAACAATCAGAGATGGAGATTGAAGATAGGTTTTAAAAATAGTCATACAAGTTTTTATGATTATGTGGGTATTGTATATTATACTTATTGTAGGTATTTTCTTGCAGCTTATTTATGCATAAATTTTGTACTGTTTGTAACAGATGTAGTAGCAATACTAATCGCCGATCAGTAACTGTTTCGATTAACAAAACAGATATGAACAGACCTATAATACATGCCGTATATTTAAAATGAATAAGGTTTCAAAATTGACAAGATATTATTCACAAAAAATCACACATAGGATAGAAATGTTAGTGATATGATAAGCCCTTCACAGTTCACATGTTATCGTACTGTTAGCGTCGCGTAAGTGTACAAGAATTATTAGTGGCGCGACGCGCGCGCTGCGCCCGGAGTGCGACTGTACTCACATGCGCAGACAACTAGCGCTGCGCCCGCGCAGCCGAGGGACGCCTGTTGACTCATTCATGTGGTCTGCCTGTGGTATGGATGTAAGTTTATCGATGGTGACATGATGCTACGTGATCCAAAGAATCATTTCATTAAATAATAATTTACTTATAGACAGTTGTATCCTTTCTTTTTCCATTTCAGAGCCATATATTTACTAGATTTCATTAATATTCGTCCAGTCATTTAAGAATTGTATATGAAAAAATATTGAGATATCTTTACAGCTTTTATTATTATTCACAGTAAATAACATTACTTATATTATTAAATAACAATTAACTTTGTACCCACTAAGCAAAGATTGTACTATGGATAAATAATAGTTTATTACCCTCTGTAAATAAATATATTATAGGTCCCTAATATTCATAGAAAATCAACCAGTGTTTGCTATCCAACGTTAGACCTCAAGGGTAAATATTTATACATGTTATTATATGAGTAGTAGAATAATTAGTTTACACCCGTTGAGATTTTGAAATAATAAAATACCCCACAGTAATAGATTTATTTGACGTGAGATTTTCAATATTTCAGGCGTTCGTAAGCTGCTGTAGTTCTTTACACAGAGTGTTACTACTATGCAGAGTTTAAATCATTTTGAAGCTATTTATATTAGTCACCATCAGCATTTAAATGATACCTTAAATTTAAGTGGTACCTATTAATCACAGTAACATCTTCACAACTGTTAGCCAAGATATGGCAGCAGAGATTGTCCAAAATGACCATATTTCGCTCTGTATATTTGAATCAAACAAGGCAGGGCGCAAACCTACAGACGTCTTTCATATTACCATGCTAAGAGACTATATAAAAATAAATTGATACACAAAGTTTTTTGGTGTTGGTTAGGTGTGAACTCACGTTCTTCGATATACTATGTACCATGTTCTTCTGAGGAGAGATATGTACGCTACAAAAAACATTTACCTACATACTTAGTAGCCGCAGAGAATCAACGGTCAAGGGCAACTAGTTATGTTATAGCCAGCCGGTCGATCACCCAAACATCATAGTTCCAAAATTGAATTCGGTTACTATTTATTTGTGTTTGGGTATTGTTTCTTACACCAGTATAGATATATATTGCATTAATGTACACAGATGGATTATGTAGGTAAGTATTTATTGTTATTAAGTAACAGTAAAGTTCACTGTATTCAATTTTGTAAATGGTCCACTTAACCATAAGTAATTTAATATCACTATTATAAGATACGGCAGTCGATAGTCGATCATTTAATCTTTAAGACGTTTTAATTTAACCGTATACTATCAGCTTGGCCGTATGCTTGTTTGCCACCCACGTGGTATAAAAAAAAATAAGATTTTTGTTCTCATTATTTATTACAGTACAAACGAAATGTACAATGACTCAATTTGTGAATATATTCACTTTTAATAGGTATTCTTTTTAATTGAATTGGAGTGATAGACAAGCTCACGGCCTGAATGTAAAAACAAACCTCCCACCTGATGGTAAGAGGTAACCGTTGCATGTAGGTATCTATATACGAACAGCACCATGGACATCACGTCATCATGAGATGCCCGTAATATCAGTCAGGAGTTGTCATTCCGGAGGATTATAATATAGGCATTATGCCTTCATATCCAGTAATTTCGCTGCCTTACCTTTCAAGAGAAACACACCTTACAATGCAAGCTTTTTGGAGCCTGAAACAGGTGACGTTATACAAAGTATAGTTCGGTGTATTCTTTTTTTTACTCAGAGAAAATTCTTCAAGTATACCCGCCGCCGCAGGAGCAAGCAGGTATCGAGAGAGAGGAGACGCCTACTCACTAAAAACTCCTAGATGTCCAACTTTTTTACTCGTACTCGACTCATCCAACACCATATGCACTATGCATATATGACTGTCGCCATCACTGTGTCGCCGGCGGCAATGTAAATAATATACCCATCTAATTAAGATTTTACGTTATTAAATGTAATACGTACTATGTCTACTTAACGTTATTAAAAAAAAGTAAAATCTCTAGTTGTCATTCAAATGCCACAAGTGCCAGTAATACTGTCACTATGATGTCAATCAATTTGTCAAATGGAATTATCTATCTATATAGCCAGCTAAATTTTAGACTGTATTTATTTAATGACATTTGTTGAATCCAATTGCGTTTTAATAAATTACTTTATTATAATTCTTTCTATAGGATAAAAGTAGTTTATGAAAAATCTACTGAGAACAAATTTATAAATAAAAATAAATCCATGACTGGAATGATCACACGCGCTACGGTTAGAGCTTTCTCGACGGAGGTCCTGAAAGTTGTCAACAATGTTGCTAAGCAACAGTTTACAGTATCGGTGCCCGGCGGTATGTATTGGAATAATTATTAAAATCTTAGTGCATTTATTTTAGTTTAATTAGTTTAAACCAAATACATATGGATTGTAATAAGTGTTATTAATAATCTTGTACCGCAGCCTCATTCTACTAGTTCTAAATTTAAAAATTCAAATGATTAATTTTAAGTTATGTTAATAGTCCTTATTTAAATTAATCCTACGAAGTGTTGATAAAAAGAGCAACACTTCTTATTGTTAAGTCTGTTTCGTATTCTGTTTATGACTTTTTATTTGTTATTTAAAAGTTAATCTCAGCCAAATAGTGATCAGACAATGTTGATTAACAGCTAATTTAATTATAATTTTAGTAGTAACGTAATATATATTTATGATAATGTTGTCTATATTTGTAATTCACCTGTGCAGCTGGCAAAGGACCATTTTACCATACTTTAGATATACCAAAATAAATAAATAACCATGTTACCATATAAAAGTTTCTATATAATAAAATCTCATCATAACTAATTATTATTGTATATTTTAGCTGAAGCTGTAGTAGATTATGAGAAAAGTGGGAAGCATATAACATTTGTGCACACAGAGGTACCTCAGCAGTTTCAAGGCAAGGGAGTAGGCAAGTTGTTGGCTGAGGTATGTTACTTAGTAATTTAACATTATTTTAAAAATGTTTTTGTATAACTTTGATAATTAAAATAATTATTTATATGTTTTATAATATAAAAAAATACTTTAAACCCGTCCTAATTGTTATTAACACAGATACAAAACTACAATTTCAAGTAGTTTGCAATCTTCTAAAATTTAAATTAAAAACCATCTAATGTTGTAGTAAACCAAAACATTTTCTTGTGATTATTCATCATGATCTATGATTCTATTCTTTTCTGTAAGTAAAATATTTTTTTATCAACAGTATGCCTTCAGCCATGCTATAGACAACAAATTGGATGTAACATGCAAATGTGACTTTCTTGCCAACTATTATCAGAAAAATCAAGCTAAATATAAACAACTTAATGTTAAAGTTGATGTAGAATAATAGCTTTATAATGGAGGTAGCATGGCATAGATGTAATATTCATTATTATTTACGAGAAAAATATTATGGAAAAGCTAAAAAAATTACTGTACAAGCTTCATTGCGCTACAATAATACAACTGAATTTCATTTCTATAATGGCATAACAAGTATCTTAGAAGGTCAAGTACAAAAAGGTATTAGCGATCTTACCCCCCTTCAATCTGACAGAGATATCCAATTAGCTGTTGTTATAGCCCTTCTATATGGTCATAAACTTGTTAATACTTTGGAAAGAGATTCCATATATAATTTGGAAGCTAAACTTAAGGAAGAAAAAAAGCAAGGCAGTTCTATGGCATATTATTATGCAGGTCTCTTCTTGTCTTTAGCTGAGAAATATGAAAAAGCTTCTGAATATATTAATAAGGCACTCAAAAAAGACCCAAACAACTTGGATGCCATCATACTGAAGGGCTGGAATGATATGTATATGAGTATGGATGACATGCAAATGTCAATTCTGGATTACTTGGAGTTGGCTCTCAATAAAAGTGATAAGAATATAGAAGCTTTACTTGGTTTAGCCAAGTTTAAATATTTTGCAAAAGACTATGATGCTTCTAATTTAACACTAGACAGATTAATTGTAAACAATCCAGGTCAAGTTGTGCCTCTCATAGAGAAATTGAAGAATGAATTTGCTATGCAGAAATGGGAAACAGTTTATGATACAATGGAGCGAGTTTTCACTTTAGAACCTGACAATATTGAGGCACTAAAGATAAGAATATTTCTTGCACTCTGTAAGAATGCAGATTACATTGAGGCTGCTGATCAATTGAATAAATTTTTTACAACACTAGAAAATGATGAAACCCAAAATGGGTACCAGTTTTATAATACTACACAGATATTTTCCAAAGTTTGTGCCAGATCCAGTGCTGTATTATCTCAGATATATAGGTTTGTACAGTATGCCTCAGAAATGTATCCAAAAAATGTTGATTATTTAAGTGAAGTTGGATATCAATGTATACTTCAAGGGAAGTATAAGGATTCAGTGAATTTCTTTAAAGCAGCTAGTAAAATAGATAGCAATTCTATTACGGCTTTGTGTGGTTTGACTCTTTGTCAGATGTTTGAGAATGGCCCTACTGAACAGATAGCACAACAAGTAGAGTTGCTTTTTGAAATGCAGGGTATGAAGAAATTGCCCATCTTATATCTTTTGTTAGCCCAATTAAATACAAAAAACTCACAGAAGGCCACTTCATATTTAAATACTGCATATGAGACCAAAATATCCTATGCTGAACGCTACAGCTTTAGTTTGACATATATTAAAGATCTGGATCCAGATTTTCTACTTGAAGTTTACAAAGAATACAGAAAGCATTTACCGAAGAAACCTTTTGTTGTAGTAGGTTACTTATTGTATGCAGAAGAAAATACTGAATGTGTATCACATTGTTTTACATTATTAAACACTATTTGCGAAGCTTGTCCAGGCTTGCTAACAGCTTTATATGAATTAGCTAAATTAAAGTTTTTATTTGGTTATCCAAACGAGGCTCAAAAGTTATCTCAACAAGTCAATGATTTAGATAGCACTCACGCGGGCAGTCAAATTCTACTTGCACAAATCTACATTCAGCAAGAGGCGTATACCAAAGCTGCTCAAAGCTTAGAAATTTGCCTCAGTTATAATTTTAAAGTACGAGACAGTGCAATGTATCATTTTCTAAATGGAGTTATTTTAAAGAATTCCAATCAACACCAAGAGGCTCTATCTAGCTTTACCACTAGCCTGCAAGTCGCAACTGGCAAGAGTGCCTCTAGCCATGTCACTCGACTGTATGAATCAGATCTTAATATTATAGATAAATGTACTTTGTATTTGCAAATTATAGAATTACAATCATCTCTTGGATTATTTGCTGAAGCTGGCAAATTTATGCAGGTATATTAACATTTTTTATTAATATCAAATAGTATATAACAATACGAAAACCAATATTCAGCCTTTCATTATTTGTGTTTTGTCTTCTAATTTCCTTTAACATTTAGTTTAGATTTGTTAATTTATAAAAATTTTAATATCTGCAAAAATCAAGATTTCTTTCTTTTACCTATATATTTTTATTTCTTTTGCTATAATGTCATCTCAACTAAATCTAGAGCCTACATTCAACATTTCGGCAATTTTTTTATTCAGGATGCTATACAGGAATTCTCATACACATCGGAAGAAGGTCGTTTATCAATAGCTAAGGCAGAATTGTCTTTACAAAATGGCGACGTTGATAATGCTATCGATGTTTTAAATGAGATCAAGCCGGGGCAACCATACTACTTCCAGGCTCATAGTAAAATGGCACATATTTACTTGAAAGAGAAGAAAGACCGAGCAATGTTCACTAATTGCTTCAAGGAGATAGTGAGCAATCATCCTATGGCCGATGCCCATACTATGATGGGTGATGCATTTACGTCTATTAATGGTAAGTATATGCCAAAAGTTTATGGTAAAAAAACACAACAACCGTGAAAACAGTTTAAAACATTTTTATTCGAAATGAATATACAAAAGTACTTAAACTCCATGGACTTATTACTATCAAGTATAATTAATACAATATAATGAATACAATAAAGTATAAACATCTGCAATTTGTGTTAGGCTGTGTTTTATCGATTGAATCGCAATTATTTCTAAATCACATACCTATTAGATATCAAACTATTATTGAAATTAACTATTCAAAACCGAAATGTTACAGAATTACATGTCTATAAACGTAACAAAGGGAAAATATATTGAAGATTAGATGTGATAATCATTTATTAATAACACATCTAATATTGAAATATTCATATTGTATTTTGCCAATACCTGCTTTAGCTACTTTTTGATTTCATAAAAAATAAGCTTTATTGTACAACATTAGTTTCTTTTACCAACTGTAAGTATTATGACAAACAGATCCATCACAAGCTGCTGAATCGTATGAAGCGGCGTTAAAGGGGAATCCAAGAAATATTCCACTAGTACGCAAACTTGGTACGGCTCTAGTAAAGATGCACGAGTATGATAAAGCGTCGCAGCACTATGAGAACACGATTAAATTGTTGAATGACGACGAGATCATGTTTGAATATTTGGAACTTCTTGTGAAGGTATACTTTACTCTCTGTATTCCACGATGATACCAATATTTTAGCATCTTATGTGTTTATCTTGGATGTGATCTATCTGTTTACCAAATTTAATTCGAATCCATTCTGTAGGTTTTCTATAAAAAAAGTAATAAAAGTGTTTTTTTATCTGTCTGTCCATTCCCACAAACTGTCGCATACATAATATTATTATATAATAGCATTATTATATAAATAGCTGTTATTCCATCAGTGTAGTTATGTAAGATAACACAATTCTTCGTAAACATTTAGTATCCAATCAACAAAGACCTTTAACTTTTTACTTGGCCCCATGTAATCAAGGGATCAATCTGTATCTCAATATTTCCTTGACATATACTGTGATTCCTTTATTAAATTTCGCTAAGATGTCAAAAAGCCCACTGTCGCTGACCAACATTTTTAACAGATGATTTAAATAATTTTCTTTTTCCAACAAAATTTAATGAAAAACCTCAATATCACACAGTCATTGTTCCACACAATTGTTGTTTTTTTTGATGATTATATGAAATTGAACGATTATCTATTGCTTTTTTGAAATATAAATTATAAGTTTTTGTATAAGAATTAAGAAAGTCTGAGATGGCAACATTTTTTTTTATAATAAAAATAAAAATAAATAGAAAATAAGCATACGGCCAATGTGATTGTAAATGGTTACCGTAGCCTATGGACGCCTGAAACGATAAATTAAACAGTTACGTGCGTGTTGCCGACCCTTAAGAAAATACCCTAATCTTGAAAGACCCTATGCTGTAGTCTCGTGAGAAAACCCCGGCAGCATTCAAAGAAAAGTATATTAAAAATTATTCGTTTTCCCAATATACCCACAACCTTGCCTTTAAAGTTAGTCTATCCGCTTAGGAGGATTTCGAAGAAATACCTAACACGTACAGAAAATTTCTATATTTAATATATAGATAATATACTGTTTGTTAACAGCTAAAACAATATGACAAGGTGGATACAATAATATCATCAGAAGTAAATAAACAGTATAACAAAGAGAAGGACGTAAATACTTTGAAGCGACGCGTTCGGTATCTCACTATACAAGCCAAGAGTCGAGAACTCAAGAATCCAATTGCGAACAATACGAGTTTGATTCTTGCTGAAGCGAGAGACTTGCAAACAGCTGTTGTGAAGCGTGCTGAAATAGAAGCAAGGGCTGATTTGCAAGAAGAGAAGCAAATACTGTCCAGAGTCCTAAGTTCTTTGGCTAAAGTGAAATCTGTTAAAGAGCCGGGCACAGCAGTCAGTTTGTACGTCGAAGCACTAATTTATACACCGAGTGATCCTGACACTTTGTTGTCCTTGGCCAAATTGTACGCACAGGTATGCATTATTAACATCGAACACAAATACTATAGAACATCGAGGGGTCATATATATAGTTGTATATAGGATACAACTATATGACCCCTCGATGTTCTAGGTCTTAACGCTGTTGTGTAATATTGTTGAAATAATTAAATAGTTCAGTCCTTTATAAATAAATAAAAAACAATGCAGATATTATAAAGACATATTTTATTCGTTATAGATGAATAATCCCAATAAATGTGAACAAACTTGCGCTGTATTGCTGAATTCTGACCCTAACAACGAATCAGCCGCTGTTATGATGGCTGACCTCGCATTTCGTAAGGTAAATTATTTATATTTTTTTAACAATTACATACTAATTAATACAATAATCTGTTAGAAAACTATTGTTTACTTAAAAAAAGGAAAATAAAATGAATTTTGTACTAGTTGAAAATTCCAACATCTTATTTAGGCAACTTTATGTTAATATGATACAAGAGCGAGAGGAAGTGTTGCCATTATGGCATGCACTTCCTTGTATCATGACTTCAATGAGCCAATTATTTTCATTAGCAAAGGCAAGTTTGTACAGTCCATTAAATAATATTGCAATTTTTAATTAACTGTAGTAAGTTCTAAATCCAAATATCTGCCAAAAATTTGTACAGTTCTTTCATTTGAGAATATTATCTAGGTGGACCTTGAAAGCGCTCAACGGCATCTGAATCAAATACTATCAGTAAAACCGACAAGTTGGGAGGCGCTGGCGCAGCTCATAGAGGTGCAGTGGCGCCGCGGGAAACTGGCTGATGCAGAGCAGGCGTTGGAAGTTGCTCATCAGGCCATGGATGGTGACGATGATCCAGGTATGGTAGAAAAAAATCTTTACATGAATAATTGTAAAACAATTATTCTATCTGCGTTAATAAACACTGGTTAGTAATCAGTACCAGTTAAACATGTCTATCATTGTGAATTTACCACAAATTAATCTTGGTTTCCATTGTAATTGTGTGGAGGTTGATCTGATTGTATAATGTATGCTATACAAAATCAGGTCCATGAATATTGCGGACAACATAGTTTCTTTTTCTTATTGCTTTCTTAATTTAACTATTTGAGATGTAAAGTGTGAAGAATTCATGAAAGAACTCATGAACGAGTGCTGCTAATGGGGACTAATCTGCTTTAATTACGACTGTTTTAATCTTATTTAGTTGATTGCGTATTTAATATTTTGACTGTAATAAATTAGTGCTACATTGGTAGTTTGTATTCACACATCAACTTAAAATGTAAAGCTACAACAAATATTTACTACTGCTTTTTTGATATATGACAGCGGCTTTTGTATTGATTGCCGCATGCATCCTCATGTAAAGTGCGAATACTGTAACTACCATATAGTAATTTTTGTAGCTGTGACGTGTTCGAGTGGAATGAGTAGTCATGCTCACTAAAATGTCCAGACATATGGCGGCGTGGTGGGCCGGGTCATTGGGCTCCTTAAAATATGGTCGAGCGCAGTGATGACTGGCTCATCCGTCATACTCGTGAACGAGTGCTGCTTGTAGGGACTGGTCTGCTCTTATCACTACGACTGATTTAATCTTATTGTGTTTTTATATTTGAACCTAAATAAATTAGTGCTGGTTGGTAGTATGTATTCACACGTTTCGACTTGTAAAATGTGAACTTACAAGGATTGTTTAAAACACACACAAGTTTCTTGCTTATTCTTCTTGTGATGAGACAGCTAAGCGGTAGGTTTAAAAAAATGTTGACTATTCAAAAGTGCTTAAATTAAGTTTATTTGAATAAATGATTTTCTATTCTATTCTATTTAAAAGAATAACACGCAAGTTTCTTGTTCGTTCTTCTTGTGATAAGACAGCTTTTATTTTAAAGTAAGTTTATTTGAGTAAAGAATTTTCTATTCTGTTACTTTATTCATTTAGGTTGCCGTGAATGTGGTACAATGGTGTATCTTGGTTTTAAAATTGTCTCTCACAGTTAATCATTAGTGACGTGCAACAGCTATCATTGTCAATTATAACAGTCTAAATATCTATTATATATATATATATATGCATCTATAAACTAAATTTATTACAATACAACACACAATTAATTTTATATTTAACTTTGTAACGACAAAAATGACCAAATTACATGATTAAGACCTTAATGTTAGGGTACTATTTCTGCGCGGGGCTGTGTTCAATGTATGCCGGTCGTGCTAATGCGGCGCTCCGGCAACTGAACCAGGCGAGGCGCGGCCCGCGCTGGGGCCGACCTGCAGCCCTACGTATGGTTTTACTTTGTCTCTCACATCACGCGCCTCAAGCGACCTCTGACGTTGCATTGCCCGGTGACGACTCGTAAGTACCAGTAATAATAATAATAATATTAATATGGTTATATATCCTTACTTCGTTACTAATATAGATGTGGAAGTAACTCTGTCTGTCTCGCTTTCACGACATAACTACTGAATCGTTTTTAGGCTGTTGATTAAATATGACATTTAAACTTTGTAACTTTAACCCTAAGGATGTAAAATGATGATCGTCATTATTGAAGCGAAAGCTATGAAGGTTGTATTATGACATTTTAGAAGTTATGTTTCACACAAATTTACAAAATCAGTCATCAGAATAGTTTATGTACCCTAATGTATCGCAGCATATGCAATAGAAAATATTCCATTGCACTAAATTTCAGAATATTATTTAAGCTACATATTTCCAGTGATACAAGAATGCTGGCTCTACGTACGGCAGAAAAATTACTAATAGAGGTGGAGCCGTATGAACGAAAACCTCTGCAAGCACTTCTGCAGCTCGCCACCAAACAGAAGTCTCAAGCTGAACGTGTGCTGCAAGAATTGCTGCCACTAGTGAACGATGATCGACAGGATGACCCCTATTTAATACTAGCTATAGCTATTGGGTATGCGTTCCAATTTTTAACTAATTTACACTTAGATTGTGGAATGAACTACCTGCCAAAGTTTTCTCACGAGACTACACCATGGGGTTTTTCAAGAAGGGGTAATATTAAGGTTTCTTAAGGGTCGGCAACGCGCACGTGACACCCCTGCTGTCTCAGGCGTCCATAGGCTACGGTAACCATTTTATTATAAAAGCATTTTAATATAAAAAAACCGTAAAACTTTCCATTTTTAGTAAGTCTAGGTACAGTACAGTATAGGTACTCATAAATCTTGAAAAAGTATTCTTTGTATCGTAAATAAATATGTATGTGTGTATGATAAATAAAGATCTCCTGTTATACTAACGGATTTACGGTAGATTGTAAATAAATTACATAAAAATAAATGCAACGTGGTATGATCCTGTGATTTTTTCTAATTATATGTGTAAATAAAGATCACGTCAAATATTAATACAGTAGGTATATAGTTTTTTATTGTGCTCAAATATACTTTTAAACCACTTCTGATAACCTTATAGAATCGAGAACGTTTTTTTTTATCCATACTATTTTTTTAAAGATTTATCATATTTTTATTATGTACTATTTTTTTTTCAATTATTACAGTTATAACATAATAAAGCAACCTACGCGAGCCAAGAACATATTGAAAAGGACTATATCGTCGATACCTTGGACCCCAGAAAAGGCTGACGGATTAGAAAGGTAATACGTGATATAGTGCTATTAATTTATAAATAAGTATATATTAACTTTGAATTTGTTATGGTAACTTTACAATATTATATTATTAGCACTCATCATAATTCTCTTGTTTAAGTTTCTAACATAAGGTAATTTTATATCCTCTTTAGATGCTGGTTAGAGGTGGCTGATAGTCAAGTCAGTTCAGGAAGAATGGAGGCCGCCAAAGAGTTATTAACGAAAATATTAAACCACAATAATTCGTGTGCCGCAGCCTACCAATATTTAGGTGAGAATTATTATAAAAAGATTTTCAAAATTAATTAAAAAAAAAATAGTTTTCAATTTAATTTTTGAAACTATTCTGTTTGTCAATTGTTTTTTTATTTGCTTGCGTGGTTTGCTTCCGTGCTTGTGCTGTTTTAATTTTAAGGTTTTAATTATTACAACCAGAAGACAGAACTTAAAATTGTACAAATAAAATATATGTTATTTTATAGGATATTTAGCAGAGAAAGAACAGAACTACAAAGGTGCCGCGCACAACTACGATAACGCGTGGACGTACTCGGGTCGCGCCGATTTGGCTCTTGGTTACAAACTGGCCCACGCGTATCTGAAGCTCAAGAAGTATCCAGAATGTATAGTGGTCTGCCGCTATATCCTCAAAGTGCACCCAGATTATCCAAAGATCAGAAAAGAAATACTAGAGAAAGCCAAAAACAATTTACGCACATAATCTAGTTTTGTATATTACTGTATTTAGGGAGCCTATATTCAGTGATTTATTTTGTATTTATGGTTATTATTGGGGAAGAACATTGCCATTGTAAAGAATTGAAATCAACTGCAATCGTTTTCTTAACTTCAGAATTTTAATACAGGAAATATGGAGAAGATAATACACGGGCGCATTTAGAAAGTTAACACATTGACAGATTAAGCGTGATTACATTATACTTTCAAAAGTTATATTAGGGGGACCATTTCCAGAAGTCGATATGGCCAATATGTAGCGGTATGTAGTAAATCAGTGTGCAACTGTCTGATGTCCAGTAGCTAGCACAGAATTATACAATTTTCATTAATGTGATGCCAACTGACATATATATTGACCGGGTTATCGAACAATGAATATTCACTTTTAGGACGTTGTAAATAAAACACATGTATGTAAATATGATAATGTACTAACTAATATTGAAGGCAATAAGTGTTAATTACACAGTAGGTAATTCTTTTTTTTCACACATTAAAAATTTCATGTTCAAAATAGATTTTTTTTTCAATCGATTTGTGACGTTACGAGATAGCGCTCATTTTTTGCACATTGTTTTAAAACTACAACTATGTTTTATAACGATGACATTGTTTAGTCTTCCTTCTCCTCTTGTTCGAGGATCGTCTTGAAGCAGAATGGCTGGAAGATGTATCCTAGACCTTGGTAGAATTTACTCATGAACTCCACCCTGGAATAAAATGTTATGGCAAAAATATAAACAAAATGCAAAATAATTTAAATCTTATGGAAAATAATATAAAAAACATCTTTCCATGAGTAATATATTTTTTGTCACTTAAAATAACGTGTGTGATTAATTTGCATGAGACAATATATGAACTGAAATTTATAGGCCAAAATTATATAAATTTAAATGGTACTAGACAAATCAATTCAATATTTGATATCAACTAAAATTTTAAACCGCTAAGATTTTTTATGCCATATACAAATTATACAATATGAAATTAATGAAGAATTCTCACCAATGCAAACGTAGTGTATGCAAGAAGGCCGAAAGCCCCTCCATCATGACAAGGATGGCCAGTGTGAATAGCGCCCAGAAACAGAAGGCGACGTACAGCTTGATCGCGCCGATGTAGTCATGGTCCTTCAGGCCGAATGTTAGCACCATGTTCCACAGCACCTCCGACAATTCTGTACATGGGCAAAATAAAAATAATGTATTTATTCGTCCACCTAACAGCCAAGCAGCTTACTTTATAAGCTGATTCAATTCGAGAGTGAAATAAAGTCCTCTAGAATGGTAACGCATGGGTAGTATCATGGGCATCATCTAATGTTCATAAATATAATAAAAATATCTCTACAATTCACACAGCGTCATCTATTATAGTTCTAAGTTAAGCAGAGCTTGTGTTATGGTCACTGGGCAACTGATATAAATACTTACATTTTTTAGTAAATAAATAATAGTTATACATAAAAATCACCCAGACCGATGCAAACAATCAAACTCATTAATCCAAATGTTTGTACCGTGCGAATCAAACTCGTGATCATCGGAAGTAAAGCGGTGTGTAAACCGAGACCAAGGCTAAGTTCGAAATGGTGCTGAGAACTTACTCAATGATATTATGGTACGCCTTTGGTTTTGGGAGTTCACCGTCATGGTAATGTACGAGAAATCGAACTCGCGACGATCGAAAGTAAACTGTTAGACAACCGCGGCCGTCTCACATAGGCCATTTTAACATAAGGTAAGAAAGGTTAGCATTGTAGTAAAAAAAATATACCTGCGTGAGCAAGCGAGAGCGCCCACAATCGGAGATATGATGCTGTATGTGAGATGGTGCTGAGAACATACTCAATAGTATGGATGGCCTGGTGGATCATGATCTCACTGAATGGTTCCTCGTCATGACCGCCGTGACCGCCGCCGCCACTCGACTTCGCCTCCGGTTTCGGGTGTTCACCGTCACCAATATCAGTTTGTTCTTGCATCTCAATACCTTGGTTTACGGAGCCATTTGATTGTTCCGGCTATAATAGAATTTGAAACATAATTTCTCTGGAGTTTAATAGTACACGAGAACAATCCAAAAACCATATAGTGCTCAACTAAGCAGTTTATACTATAGGTACTAAACAAGTAATTAAATTTTAATTCCACTTATTCTTACTTTAAATAACCAAAAGAATATACCATGTTTGTATCGCGCAATAATCAGATCCGCGATCATATGCAAGTGCTTTATTAGCGCATTACGCTACTAATAGGCATAACATCTAAGAGGGCTATATAATAAGGACCCGTGGCCCGAAGGCCGGATTCGAGACGCCGCAAACACGGGAATAATCTAATATTTAGTCATACTTTACTGAACAAACAGTTTTTAATCAATTTAAGAATAATAACAATTTAATAAAGAGAACGTTCAATTCGATGAGACCAGGTTTTCCTCCGTAGGTAAGTACTCGTATTGTGTACTGCGCTTAACTATCATTAGACATTTATTATTAATACTCCGTAAATATAGTGTTGTATATAGGTACCTTAACATCCTTCTTCTTCTTGCTAGCGGAGAGCAGGTATAATGGTTTACCGAGCAGCATCACGGGTATACAGCAGAGTGCAACTAGTACGAATACGCGTTGAATTGTGCCCTGACTGTCAAACATAAACTCCTTGCAGCCCTCCTCGGGTTCGTTGCTTGAGAACAACATCATGTTGATGAACAGGATCAAGACTGATGGCGCGCAGCCTTGTTGGTAAGCCAGATCTGAAAATATTACAATTGCCCGTTTAGTCATATAACCGGGAGAACCTTTCCTTTATGTAATAGATAATTTTACTTTTAAAAATTCTTTTTTTTAGTTATACCTGGATATTTTACAAAATTCTCTTCTTAAAAACATATATGGTAATGGATCTGGAAGAGCGGTAATGTACCTGACCGCATTGTTATGCTTAATAGGTCATCCCAACAATGTCATTGTATTTAAATGGTTTTTAAATGCAAACATTGTTTTTCATTGTCTATTTGATGTAAGCTATATAAAACATAAACAAGCTGACGGTAAGTGCTAAACGTCGCTTATATATATTGAAGTACTACGGACCCCACGTTATGTGATACCAATCATGCGCTTTTTCGGAGAACTAAGATATTATGCCTCCATAATCCTGTAATAATTTCCCTGTCTTATCAAACTTCATTGGAAACACGCCTCAATTCGACTACTAGCCGTCAAGCGGCATAATGTTTTTATGCCGCTTGGCGGCTAGTAGTAGCGATACAGGGACAACTTCAAGTCTAATTCGGTCGACCGCGGTTACCCGCGAAGTGGTCCGTCTGGAAATTTTACTTTTCTATATTAAAATAAATTATATTTCTATATTAAGGAGCCTAAGTTACTTCTAATAACATCAACTATCTGCGAGTGTAATTCTCGGCAAAATCGGTCCAGCCGTTTCAGAAATTAGCGAGAACAATCAGACAGACAATTTTTTTTTATGTAACCATATATATTTTCATATGCATTTAATGTAAAGCTGATAATTTGAAACTACAAATAGACATAAATTTTATGTATTTGTAAAGATGATTATTTCTTTCGTTATATTTAATGTTACATACCCGGTGAAAATGTGCTGTAGGCGACCCATTTGTAGAACATCATGAATACCATGTACAAGAAGAGCAAACACAGGAATATTACTTGTGGCAGGAATTCCAGCACGATAGAGTAGCGACGCTTGAAGAAGCTGTCAAGAATAAAGTAAATAAAAACATTTTGAAGTATTACTAGTACTATTTACTAATAAGCCACGTGTAAAATTACACTATTACATTTTTAATACAACGCTCAATTCGAGTAAAATTTTATATATTTTAAGGTATATTATTAACAAATAATATACCTAAAGCAAGGCGGTAACAGGGCGATGGCGATGCAATGTAACATTTATTTTAAAATTGTTTATTACGTCTATTGTAAATATGTTAGGTAATGTGATTAATCTTGGCATTATTCTTATAGAAATATTATTATTTAAATAAAATACGTACTTGTAATTGACGACGCTCATGCAGACACCAAAGATCATGTGCACAACACCAAAGATAATGGACAGTTTCATTTTGTATGAGTTCAAGAAAATAATTTTGTTGTCTGCGGTCTGAAAAGAAAAAAATATTACTTTTTTAAAATGTTTACCTAAATTACACAGCAAATATAGACCATATTTGAAAAAAATACGAGGAGATTATATAAACCCTGTTAAGTGAATTTCCATGCCTGTTAATTACTGTGGTAAATTCCTTGTGAATTAGTCGCCACGAGATAAATGATCTGACTACATTTTCAAAATAGATTTCCATACATTTTCAGAATATCTGTGTTAATAGTATACGCTATCTGGTGGTGCCCAGATAGCGTATACTATTAACACAGATGGGTGGATCATTTCATAATCACCCATGAAAAAATACATGTTATAATAACCCAAAATAAAACACAGAGGTAAACTTGTGCTGTGGATACTAAACACTGATAAAATAATAATATCTAAACATTTAGTTAATACATAAAATTATATAGAAAATAAACAAATAATACAATTAATAATTAAGCAAGAACCGAATCCGCGACTATCAGTAGTAAGGCGATGTGCTCGCTAGAGCATCAAGGTGGTAGGTACATACAAAGAATTGTAAAAGTACCATCTAGCGAAGTAAACAAAATGCTAACTAACCTGCCAAATAGGATCCACACCGATAAAGTAGGGTATATCAGTATACGAATCCTTTGGGTCTAATGTAAAGGCAGCTGCACTCTCCAATGTATGGTTATCATATGGCACGAACCACGACGATCCGAATATGTTCATAGACTTCGAGAATATATCATTATACACAAGGCCCGTGTACATAGAGAAACAGCCCATAAGCAAGATGATGTAACGGCCAGCGAAGAATATGTTCCAGATTTCGTTGTTAGATTTCTTTGCGGCAAGCGACACTTCCTTAAGGACCATCCACCCGCCGAACATTGCCATAATTAAGCCGTGGCCGAGATCGCCGAACATCACAGCGAACAGGAATGGGAAAGTAATGATCGTGTATAAAGCTAAAAATAAAATTTATATATTAGTACCTATATATCGCAATGTAATTAACGTTCAAATGTTTTAGAGACATTAAAGTTAACGTAGGCAGTCCCTTAGTTCATAAATAATAATAAGTTATACTTAAATAAATTATTCTTTATTCTTTATTGTACACACACACACATAATAAAAAAATTATACAGAATAAGTGTAATGGACAAGGGCGAGCTTATCTCTAAAAAGAGATTTATAATTATAATTATATTCTTTATTACACTTTTTAGCCCACTCATAAAGTATTCATTAGTTTAAACGAATATAAAATAATTTCTATGTTTCTTATGGATAAATTTAAATATGTAAAATAGGTTAAGTCTATTTTATAGAAATTTATCTTGGTTAAAAAGAAAATATATATTAAAAAACATATCGTTAATAAATAACTGTACCCTGCAAAGTCGGAGCAGGTTACTAGTCCTACTAATATTGTTATTATAAACGCTATAGTTCGTGGCGATAAATGAATGCTGCAAACACTACTGGACAGATACGAATGAAATTTGTTACCCAGATGTATCAACTTCTAGATAAAGACATAAAATACTGTTACCTCGAATTTATTTCATGAATGTGGCATAATACTGTTACTTATAAATAAACAACCATATGACTTACCAGGGTTACATTCCCTGTAGGAGGCAACACCGTAAGCATCGATGAGGTTCTGGAAACCGCGAGTGAACCTGTTGGTGCGGTTAAACGTTGGCGGCTCTTCGTCAGTCTCGATGCAGTTTAGGAACGACGGTATCGAACTGCCGCAGGCATTCTTAAAATAAATATTGAATTTATAATAATATACAACATAGGCATAAGTGGGTCTAAAATTGCTATTCATGTAATTACATGAATAGCAATTTTAGACCCAATTTTATGCCATCTATTATACACCCATATATATATATATATCCCATCCCCGTTATATCCCATCTATAATAACTGGAATATAGGAAAATTAGCACAGTCCGTGCTTAAGTTCTATTCCAGCTAGACAAAAATATACCCGCGGAAGGACCTGGAGTATATGAAGGCCAATTCCTTCCTGGATAGATTCGACTTTAATCCGAGGACCCTGCTAATTTTATGAGTGCGAACCTAAGCTCAGGCCGTCGTAATTTGGGCGATCATATTACGATAATGACCCGATGTACTCAACTATCTAAAATGTATACCGAGGTAGGCTGTTTAAAATCGCCTGATGCTATACATCTTGTCTATCTTGTCATCTTCGTATAATGAGATAACATATTCCAATAATGAATTAATGTGTACAATGGACAAATTTAGAAAATTGATTATTGATATATTCATATTTTTTTAATATCATTAAAAAATACTTACGGAACCATCGGCCAAAGCCTTCTGTACGTTGGGCAGATCAGCCGTAGGCACCCAGCACTCCCCGATGAGGCACTTCTTAGTGACATCCATATTGAACAAGTTAAGCGTGTGATATATGGCTTTCATTTTGCGCACCATGATGGACCAGCTCGGCAGCTCCTTAGCAACGCTGATGAGAACGCGTTGTCTGTGATCGCGGGTTTGGTTCAAAACCTGAAGTAATATTGATTTATATAGATTATCATTATACTAGCTACCCGCACGACTTCGTCTGCAGCAAAAAAATATTGCTAATAAGAGGAAAGGCCTCTTATTAGCAATATTTTTCATTGCTGTTCTGCTCCTATTGGTCCTAGCAATATTTATATATAAATTGTAATATATAGTCTCACTCACCATATTAAGATCCTCGAGCCTGGTACGAACACCTTTGACCATGTCCTGACGCTCGGTGTTGGAGGGTGGGCACGGATAAAGCGACGCGTGGAAACCGGTGCACACCTTCTTGATACGAGACTTCAACTGCTCGCCTTGGAAGAACGCCACGAACACTGTTTTGTAGATCTCATTGCCCTAAAATTGTAATATAAATATATTTAAAAAAACAAGCCTTACAGTAGTTGTATACAAAAAAATCTGACACCTGAGTACTATCTGATGGGTAACTGGGTACGCGTCGTTGGTCAAATCGAAAAGCAATTGGGTAATTTCAAATTCAAGCACGCAGAGTTGGGTAACATGAAGCTGGGGTATTCCCCAGCATCGAATTATGTACTTATGACAAGAAAACATGACATCAATAACATAATATATACTTGACAGCAGTAAGAGTACTAGTTTAGCGTCTATATTGTTACCGCTATTATTTATGTTGTGTTCAACTGGTACTGGCAGCGACAGGAGGAGGAAGATTAAATAACGAGTCCAGTGGTGGCTATGTATAAATGTAATATTCTTGTGGTATTTACAATAGTTGTATGGTTTTATTATATATATAAAAACGTATATTTAATGTATCTGACTCGAAGCGATTGTGTCCCAATCTTTTGACAAAATGCTTGTTATCTCCTTTTTCTACAACGTCGCTAGGCAACGGTGTTGGCGCGCACTATCCGTAAATCGCCACACCACACACAATAATACCCTCGGAGAGAAAAAGGTGAAAGAGAAACGAAAACAATAAAAAAAAAAAATAATAATAATAAAATAAGATAAAGAAACTACAGATCTAAAATGTCCCTAAAACGAACTCTCCGTCCTGACCTGGTAACTATAGGTTTTGCAGCTGAAACAGGTGGGTTAGAAGGTATTAGTGGTGACGAGGAAGGCGAGGGTATTTGGGAGGAAGATAATGGTAATATATTAAGGCGAATGAGGAAAAATTGTGATTGGCGGACAAGATGAAGTTGAAGGAATGGAAGATGAAAGTGTGGATGGGTGTGAGGACTCGTGTATGATATGAGCAGGCTTCACACGATCCATTTTAACTGATATATATTTTTTTACCCTGGACTTCAAGAGTGACGGTTTTGTCACGCTATATGCATAAAAATTTTGTGAGGCCCTGTATAAGGAGCCTGCAAAGGACGCCGAATGCTGTCATCTCTTAGGAAAACGTAAGTGGCGGAAGGCCAATCCCTTCATAAATGAAAGTTGGCGGATCTGACAAGCTTGTTATCTCCTTTTTCTACAACGTCACTAGGCAACGGTGTTGCCGCGCACTATTAATAAATAGAGACGTAAATCGCCACACCAGTAAGGAGAGTCAAAAGAAATGGTGAATCGCTATCGATAGGCAAACTGACGTGATTTCATGTTCATCCCATCGTCCTCCAATGGTGACAAATTCACCACTTATGTGAAAAATTATTCAAAAATTTTTAAAAAAGTTTGTATTACGGCTAAATCTAATTATATTAATAAACAAATTAACCAGTCTTCTGACAAAATTAAAACCATCTGGGGCATTATAAATAAAGAAACCTGTATTTCCATTTCAATATGGAGACATTACAGGATAAGAGGATTGGTAACGCATAAGTGGTATCACAGGTGTTACATTACAATATAACGTTCGTAGTGCTGTTTATGTATATACGTTACAGTTACAGTTTTCACCATCAGGAAGGCTGTCGGCTGTTTTGCCATTATTATAGAGAAATATATCTTTCATTAGATAAGATAAACTTTTTGAAACAGTAACTTACAGTTGTGGGATCCTCAAGAGGTTTGTCAAGTTCAGCACGACGCAAGAACACGTTTCCGCGGGAGATACGCCACAGCATCCGTTCAAAGGCGGGCACACGCTCGCGTTGTACCACGCCGGCTACGAAGCCGAGGCGGCCCCGGGCGGCGGCTTGTTGACCTTGTTCGTCTGATATTAGAGACCTGGACAACATACCACAAAATGTTTCACTTAGGCATCATGTTACATTTATTTCATCCCCTTCAGGATTATCAGAAGTATTTGCGGTCACACATAGATCAATTTCAGTCCGATTGCCCCATTTTGATTGGTTATTACGCCTACGTTTAGAAATGCGCCAATTAGAATGGGATTGCATAGGACAATCGTCCGACTAAACCGAATAATATGTGACCACCGTAATACTAAACCGCAAAACCAGGGCCAACAAAATTATAAAAAAAAATCTATATTAAAAGCTCATAGTATTAAAATATTTTATTTTATTGTACAGAAAAAATATAGAATAGTTACATTGCAAGTTCATAGTCACTTCACAGTAAAGTCTGCGTAGTTTATTAGGCGCGAATTCCAGTTAAATATTTGATCGGAGCAGTTGAAACCTACTGTTGTTCTTTGTATCATATCTGCTTTCACTAGACAAAAACTAACGAGTGAATGTGTACGTGAAATGAATTTGTAGTGCATTTTTTCATAAAATTAATAAATAGAGACGTTTTAGAAATACGCTAAGAAAAAACGCAATTTTTTACTACCTACATGTTACAATAGCATAACGTCTTTAAAGTTAGATACTTACTTAGTCAGAGAATCCATGCCGAATTCCTCCTGAGCGACGAAGAATGCTTCTGTTTTCTCAAGAACATGTCTCAGTTCTGTAAGTTCCAGGTAATTCTGTTTCAGGTTCACCGCGTTGTGGGACAACTCCAGAATTTCGTTTTCGGTTTTTTCTAAATGTGCCTATAAAAAATAGATTATATATATATATACAACACGCAAATAAAAACAGAACCTATAGACATTCATATTTTACGCATTTATAACTAATTTCATCTATCTATAGGCTATTGCTTTATATAACTGTTATTTTCTATTAAAATAAAAATCATAAGAATGATTACCTCAAGATCTATGATTTCTCTGGGATTAGGGGCTCGAGGTGGCTCCTTGACTGAGGGCACATGAACGCCATCTTTGTGTACCTCCGCCTCAATATATCGCAATTTGCGCTCCATCTCATCGCACCGACGTACTTCATTCACGAATTTACGCTGGAATGCGTTCACATCCGGGTTCAGCTGTAAACAAATTGTTTATTTATTATTATGATTGCAGAACTTATATTCAGTATATGATTAACTAAAGGAATTATCGTCGTTCTCTCAACCTACTCTGAAAATACTGGTTTAAATTTGACGCGGTCATTATTTATACGTACTCTAAAAATCACGGGATCTTACCACATTTTATTTATTTTTATCGAGTTCCCGATATTTCGGCAGTGTTTCAACCGTGATGATGACGGGTAAACTTATCGAGAACTCAATACAAATAAATAAAACGCGATAAGATCCCGCGATTTTTCCTAATTGTAAGTGCACTCTGAAAATGTATTTATTTATTATTTTCAAATTTCAAATCCTGTACCCTAGGAGAAAACTGTTTCATATTATAGTCAACTTTATAAATATAAGTATTAGGTAAGAAAGTAGTTAATAAGATGAGGAAATGTAGTACGGATTGTCAGTCTCTAGTAAAACTTGTGTTTTCTTAGCCTCAACAGTTACAAATTACATAAAAAAGGGATTTAATTGTAGCATGCATTTGAAACTGGAGTATGTTAATATTAGTTTTGCTAGTGTACACAATGATGAATTAGTCCAGCAAGATAAGATAATTTACACTTGACATTACAATCTAGGTACCTCTGTAAGCAAGTGTACCTACTATCTATAAACACTAACTAGGTAGGTCTTATTACTAAGTTTGGAGTTGTGGTACACTTTCAGAATAACCTATAAAATAATAGGTACCTACTTTATTAAACACACGGATAAAAAATGTTTAACTGGTTGGAATTAAGTTTTATTTGCAATCCGATATTCACGTATACTTCTAGTAACTTCCATAATACATAATAATGACAGTTAATGGCAGACATAGCAGTTGATTTTAACGCCAATAATGAGAGGAGAGAAAAAATAATTGTAATAAGGAAAGTAAACTCCGGAACCATTGCACCACTTTGAGAAATTCTTTCAATAAATAAAGATATATTTTTCTTATAGGATGAAGGCTGTGTATTACGTTAATAATGTACAAAACTCACACAGTGAGTACCCGAGCGAAGCAGAGGGGGATCACTAGGCAGTAAATAAATACAGTAATTATACCGCGGTTGCTTTAATAGGACCACACTGGTTTTTGTGGTTTCTATTTGTAGCGCTTGTATTCTTACAGTTTTTGCAAATAATCCTGTATCAAGAATAAATCGTAAACAATAAGTTGATAATATATCTAGTATAATATATACTATATAATACATACATAATGTACACCGCATTACTATCGATGGTCGCGGGTTGGATTCTCCGCACGGTACATACTTTTGTATTTGTATCAATCTTAATACAAGCTCTGCTTAGCTTGGGACTAGATGGCGCTGTCTAAATGATACTAAGATGTTTAATTTCTATGGCAAAAATAACGTTTGCTGGTCAGCTAGTGTAATTAGAATGACAAACTGACTGATAGCTCACGTGATACGGTCTTACACTTGATGTGGACACACACACAACATAATATTTCCTTGTAATATGTAACTTGATATTTATGATTATGAAATTGAATAGTTGTACATAAGTATGTATACTTCAACTTGCATATTACCGGTAAATTGTTCATCATTCTTTTTATAAATAACTAGATGTGCCCGCGACTTTGTCCGCGTGGAATAGCAACCTTGACCAAATAAAAAATATATATTTAGATTATAACCCAAAAAAGTTTCATGATTCTACTTAAAATATGAAGATACAACATTTCATCTCCGCTGTTAACACCTTACATCCATTTCCATTTAGTGCGAAAAAAGGCACTAAAAAGTAGCCTGTGTCCTTTTCAGGTTCTAGACTGTCTGTGTATCAAATTGTTCTTATAGGTACATCACTTTTGACTATCGCGTCGCGGGGGATTACTCTTTTATAAAGATTTTTCGAACAACTAATCAACAAATCTACCCGAATAAAATAAAGTTACACGACAGTGCTGTAATATCGTTGGTAGTAGACAAAAACTTGTTTCTCACTTTCTAAGTAAGCATTAAATAATAACTGTTTACACAGCTATATTACGAGTATGTCCTCTAGTGAAAGCGAGGCATAATTTATCTTATGGGATCAAATTATTTATATTCATTCTTATAATTAGTTATAATCTTAGTAATATTATAAACGCAAAAGGTTTTAAGTATGGATGGATGTTTGTTACTATTTCAAACTACTGAACGGATATTGTTGAAACTTTACAGTAATATAGCTTATACATTAAAACACATGCGAAAGTGTGTTTGTCTATTTGTTACCTTTTCACGGAAAATATATTAAATTATGTTAGAAGATAGGTAAATTTAATTTTAAAAATAATTAAATAATTTATTTTATAAAAATTGAAATAGAGAATGAACGCTAATATCTACAGATAAAGGCGCAAGTAACACATAGGCATTGTAATTTTAGTATGGATTAAAAACAAATATGTCTTAAAAATTACCTAAGACAGAAGTAATGAAATTAGCTGTGCCCAAAGAATAGAATTAGGCACATCAATTACTTCTGTTATGTCAATTAAGAAGCAGCTAACACTTAGATATCTAACGCTTATAATATTTACCAAATGATTTATCATTTTTATACGTCAGCTGGGAATTACTGATTAGATCACTTATTAGTAATAATGGACACTTAATGGTAACCATCTGACTAGATTGGAACTCCATTCCTATCCAAATTAGCGAAAATCGGTGATCGTGTATTTTTTTAATTGAGTCACTCAACTCATCTAACAATCAATTTAATTATACAGACAATTTTTTGATAAGATTAAAGTCCACGTTACTTCTCACGGACCTCAAATGGTATAATTAGTCCACTGATTATGACTGTTGTAATTGAACATTTATATATTTGAAGTCAATAATATCAAGAATGTTATTTCTTTTTTTCGAGTGGCTCCACTGAAAATTAGCTGTGTAGTGACACGCTCAGTGGAGGCCATTTCACCTCATAGCACGATATTTGCGTTTTTCTATATTTTTACTCTGTATTATGCTTTACCTACTAAATAAATTATTATAATTATTATTATAAATATTATAATATACATTTAATTATAATAATATTATTATAAAATTATTATTATTATTATAAATATAAAGTACAAATTTTCGACCGTCATGTGCTATCAATATTGGAATGAAGTTGTCTGTGTTAAGGAACTGTGTTTCCTTAGCCATAAAAAATATACGAGTATGACGGCTTTACAAGCTTGTATTTACAGTAGGTAATTAGCGCATCGACTAACCAACGATAAAACTAAAGATAGCCCTGTAATTTCCGTTGGCCTACATTCCTTCAATTTGTCATAAAGCATCAAACAACAGGAACATAAGGGAAAATCCTGTAAACTAAATCTAAATGATATTTTCTTAAATTAATATACACATAAATACTCAAACAATTTTTTTTATATATGTATATTATACATAAGAAACACTTATACAACAAACAAACAGTAATACTCATATAGTATTTTACGAGGAATCGAATCGAACTCGCGACCATGCGAAGTAAGGTGGTGTGCTGAACCGTTAGTCCACCGAGACCGTCACTGCTTGTTTAAACATTACCTCAAAAAGCTACTAGCTATAAAATACCTATATTTAAAGCTATTTTTAAAACAATTAATCTGAAATAAGTCTATTTTTCTACAATTAAAAAAGGGTCATATAGAACCAACGGTAAGCAGAGCTTATGTTCTTAGATTTTTTTTACAAATACATACTATAATATATATAGAATACACCCAGACTGATGCAAACAATCATAATCATGAACACAAATGTATGTACCTACTGTACGAGGAATCGAACTCGCGAACATCGGAAGTAATTTGTAAACCGCTAGACCATCGAGGCCATCCCTGCGTTATTTCAATATTAGCTTAAATAAATAAGTAAAAAATAAATTAACATTATCCTTAATAAATTAGCTCAAATAGCTATATACATATATGTATATAGTGAGCTAAAAAGTTTTTGCATCATTAGTCTGAAATAAATCTAATTGAATGAAAAAAGATAGGTACTTATGTACTTACATCCCTGAATTGCACGGTGCCTGCTTCGCCAAGCTCTGAGACGGAGGTATACGCCGCCTCTGGTTGAATGAAGAGCTGGCACAAGGCCATCTCTTCGCTCCTGAACATCGCCCCCATCCTTGTTCCTCCTTATTGCCTTCTGTTCTATAAGAGATATTACATAATTTATTACCTAATACTTATATATTCATTTCAGGTTTTGGAATTTATTAAGGCAGGAAAAATATAAAAAATTGTTTGTAACAGATAAACTCCTTATGAGTTTATCTGTTACAAACAATTTTTTCAGCAATATCACAGATTTTAAAATCAAATCAATATATCTATTATCGACACATATGATTTGTCAAATCTATTGTTAGTTCGGAGTGTTTTCGAGCTAAGATGAAGCGACAAGCAACTCTGCTGAGTAGACTATTAAATCTTATATTATCAACCAGTAACATATTTTAATGATATATTTTCAATAAGATTATGCCTTCGATAATTACAATCATGCAAAGACTGTGTTATTAATAGTATCTAATATAACCATAATTGCTTTCCATAATAATTTTATTACTTGTTCAATGAAGTTATTTATATTTCAATTGTAAAATCTCGAAGTATTTAACAAGCATGGCACGCCATTTACAGCACATACTGTAACCTTACCATATCCGACACCTGTCCAGATGTATGCCTTCAGTACGAGTAATTATAATAACAATTTGTCCTCGCTGCCACAAGATCGGAACAGATAGATCGAGTGCAAGCAATACAAGGTTGAGAAATGATTGCTTTTTATATTGCATAATATATATATATCTACGATGTGACAGTAGCGTAATTGAAAGTGATACCTCAATACAAATCATTGGTGTATACATATTAAAATGTAATAACAATTCAAACGAATAGTTTATTAAATTTAACCTGACTCATGTACTACGAACTTTTAGGGTTCTGAAGTAGAATAATAAAACGGAATACTAACTTTGTGCCTGTCCGTAGGACAGAGTGCTACTTGTATACTCTATGCTAGGTTTAGTTGCAAGAGTATACCAACCCAAAAGTTCGTAGGTCGTAGGTACCTATTCTAAGGAATATGATAAGTAAAATTTCTGTAGGAAATAAAATGGAAAAGTGAAAATATTTTTTAAAACCTTAATACACACTGCGCGGTCACGTGATCAACTTAATATGAAAAAGTAATGTTTAGTTTCAGATTAATTTTGTAGTTTAGTGAAAGATCCGTTTTATAAATATATAAGATTGTTTGAGGATCATTTACCAACCATCAGTTCCTTTTCCGACTAACTCTGTAGGTATTTTATTTTTTATAAAATAAAATAATCTTGGCACGAATCATAACACTAGTAGCGATTTCAATATTTAAATATATTTTAAATATAAATGACCCTTTCATTTGGTCATTATATGACTGCTTCTTAATAATTTTAAATAGTATACACTTAGACTTAAAATACAATGGAAAATGTATGACGAATCCGATGTTTCTGAAGCGGATATAACATTTTTTTTAATTAACTAATATTTTTGTTCTCTTTAACGGACCTTTTATACTGCACCATACTATACTATATACCTACCATACTATATACCTACATATATTTCAGAATCCTCGTTGCCCAAGTACGGTTCGTACTTTGTCGCTGTTTTTGTCAGTTAATAAAACAAGCAGCGAAAGAGTTATGCGCTAACCGTGACCAATATTGTACACAAGTATTGAAAAGAATATTAAATACACAATTTAATTTGACAAGCGTCATATCGCTTAATCAGGTTTTATACTTAGTTCCGAAACAAAACTGTAAAACGGAGTCTAAATATACATATTTTTTAATTTTGATAACAGTCACAAAATACTTTTTATATGCTATGAAATACGGTGTATAGGAATTTAATGATCACAATGTTTTTTACACATTGAGGAAGGCTATGTAACTAAGAATATTGTTTTTGTGAAAATGTGCTATTAAGTCATTAAAAATAAAAAAGTATAATATATATTCAAACTCCGTTTTACCGTTTTGTTTCGGCATTATAAAATCTGATTGTGCTATAAATATGAGGTATACGGTTATAAAATATTAGTGCAAAATAAACATAAGATTTAAAAATAATATACAGGTAAAGTTCTATTGACCATCAAAACCATGACAGAGCCATCGGTAGAGTCGGTCTAAATGCCAATTAAATGATCATCAAGGTCATTGCTGCATGAAAGAAAAAACATCAGCACAATAACGTTCCCAGCCAGTGAAGCAGGAATTAATATTCGTGGTCTCCGACAAGGTCAGCGGTTTTTGTTGTTTTTGCTCCGTTACCTAATCTTTCTCTATGACAATTGTTACTTTATTCAACAAATTGCGAAACAATTAAGTAGGAAGTAAACAGAATCAAAAGACAATTTAAGAACTGAACTTCTACATAAATATATTTATACGAAAGACGGGAAAGCATCTTTACTAATATTATAAATACGAAAATGGTTTGCAGTCTGTTTCGTATATATATATCAAATCTATGTCTGTATATATATATTAAAACGGCTGAAGGCTCTTAAAAAAATTGATTGACTTGAAAATATATTGTATCATGCAAACGGACATCTGATAACTTTTATTTCAGAAGATAGACTGGGAGAGGTGAAATAAGGAAAGTTTGTGCAGACGAATTCGCGGGTAACAGCTAGTAACAATAATTTCGAAGACGGCCAAACCTTGATTTTAATAATCCCTATGGATGTAGTTTTTGTCGCAGAAGCAAGATACTGATTGTCATAATGACAAAAGAAGCAATGATTGAAACGCCTACTATGAACAATTTGTATAAATTCAATAAAAAAAAGAAATTAAATTAGTATTGAAATTTTAGATTTTTGGACTAATATTTATTTCGCTGTTATAGAGGAAAACTTCAAAAAATCTATAGCTTTCCGTGTGTTAAATGTCTCATTATATTCTTTTAAACATTTATCATTAACTGGTTACATGCATTTTACAATACAATGTTTATTTCAAGTCATCACTGCTAAGATGCAGTGTAGTGATCAACATAATATGAAAAAATAATCACCAAAGTAGTCTTAAAGTAGGTAGTATATGCAATCAGTCAAATTAGTACATTTCCAAAGAATTGGACGTACGCCTTCCTAGCCGCATTTGAATAATTTGCTAAAAATATTGCCTTGAATCCATTGTGACTAAATACAAGAATATCCGATGTAAATTTCTTACTTAGTATTTTGCGACCTTGGTTATGCTTTCTGATAATGATGTAGGTATGTACATTACATATAGCGTAAAGAAAATAAATGTTTCAATTCCCATTATAATTGAACATTTCAGGAAAGAATAAATTGTTAGTAATGTATTTTATAGCGATATCTTGGTTATTATGATTTAAAACTTGATTTTAAAATCATTATAACCAGTTTCTTATCCATTCTTCTCTGTAATTACCATTACTATTAAATAAATATATAATAACAACCCGAAAAGTTTGCGTACAACAAGAGTTCTGAACATATTTGTATAATTTCTAATCTAGTTTCTGGTCGTAAGTGATTTTTTGTGAATATTAGGTGCAATATAACTATACATATTTATGTTATAGATAACTAATAAAGAAAGAAGAGCCACTAAGGATTTCAAGATCTTAATTACCTAAGATATATGAATTATTTACATCTAATTTATAATCTTGTATGGCAATAAAGCATTTACGGGTCAACTAGTATTTTATATGTTTAGTAATGAAAAAGTTTTGAAATTGGAACAGAGATATTTCAAAGATTAAGTAGATATATAGATCTATATTTATATGTATAATGTATATGCCAATGACTAACATATTGTTATATTAGATTACTTGTGTATGTATTGACTGTTGTGCCAAAACTAAAATATATAAAAAAAATTAAATCAACGCATACTAGTAACGTAAAAAATATTCTTTCGTAATTAGCTCAGTAATTTTAATATAATCCATTAAGCGATTGATCTGTAAGAAATAATATCTACTTTACCTATAAACTTGTTCCAGTTTTATTCCAAATTTCAATCTTAATGTTACAGCTTATCTACCAATGTCAACATACATTTTAAAGAACGTACTTCGTATATTACGTTCCGAACCGATTCCGTGAATCACGAAGGTTGCCTCCCATAAGATAGGAATGGGTGCCATGTTGAACGCACACACCTGAAGGCTATCAGGTCGTCACATTTCCGCTACGTAATTCATTTCCGACTGACCTTTCCGATACAAGTCGCTCCAGGAAAAATTCATTACAACGTAAAATACTATATCTATGCACAATATAGTTCTTAAAGTTATGAGGGCCAATTAAAAGTTGTATATAAGAAATCCGTTCATAAAACATAGGTATTATACCATATGTGAAGCAAAATTTTTGTACCCCATTTTACGAAAATTGCGAGAACGGAGAAGTAAGACTATATAAACTATAAATGTGCATAATGCACATTTATAATTTATATACAGAAGTGGTCATTATTAATATTTTTTAAGTCATACATAAAAATACATTTAATCAATAAAAAAACATTACACACACTACCATGTACTTGACACATACGTGTGTACTCTTTTATTTAATTATAATTGCTGGTTCAAAGATCTTTTTATTATTTTTTATTATGGCCGAATTTCGACCATTGGACGACCACATCATATAGAGAAATCGTAAGGAATCTATATCTTGTATAGGTACTTAATTTGCTTTAACTTATAATTTTATAACTCTATCTTATTAAGGTGTACTATAGTTAATGTACGGTATTCTTCAGTAACTCAATTTTTTAGCAAAGATTAATTTTTCTGTTTACAAACGATCCGGTTTTAGAATATCGACTGCGCCATCATTACTCATACCACAGGTATAAACTACATATTATAAACAATTCAAATATATGAGGTCAACTAACTAAAATTAATCGCACACTACATGTTGCACTTACATGAAAGCTGAAAAGTTGGATGGTTTTGAATACAGGTTTTATGTGCTAACCAAACTATGTATTTAGTGAACTAAAATAAATGTTTTATTGCTTTGTAAACATACTAAAACGTTTATATAGCGTTGATGATTGAAGGAGTAGTTAATTTTATTTCATTACACTAGTTTAGTTTCATTCTAGAGCGTTTAACAAAAGTGTCGCAAGTCTGGGTTACTTGCCAATTTTCAATTGAATCAAATTTTGAATGATTACATAAAAATGTACACAGTAAACTACTAGGGTAATAATTTATATGTAGATTTAAAAATGGTACATATTATGCTTTGACATTTTCAAATACTTTCTTATTGATTTCTACATTTCTCTTAACTATAATAATGAAATAGAACTGGATACTATTGTTTATATTGAAATATTACTATAGCAATATCTATTTTATTCAATTTTACATTGGTTATAATGAAATAAAATTTATGATTAATTATGTTAAAAATGTAGCTATGAAGCATTGTAATCTATAGTCAAACTTGTACGTTAAAATGCGTAATGGTGGTTGAAAATTAAAAATATATGTATTTGAACTAAAAAAGTACATTTTCATATTTCATAGTTAGTTCGCATATACATATATAAATAGGATACTAATAAATTTACAAGTGTGAAAACATTAACCGACCATCCAAACGCGCTTATGCAATTCAAACTGTTCAAACTCATGAAACAGTGGCATATTTATAATAATTGCAAAAACGTGCCTTACAAATATACACTACGTCTATTTACACAAGTCCAAAGTGAGTACAATACTATATTTCAGGCAGGACTTTAAGTATGAAGTCACGACCTATAATTGATTTAAAAATTAAAATGAGTGTAAGTATAGAGTTGATGATACAAAAGATGCAACCGATAATCTACTATCCGTAGTCTATTCTACTATAACGGAGCAAGAGAAGAGCGGATTTTGTTTTAAGAAAAGTAAACTTAAGTGTCCACTTTCCTTATGACAAAATCTTTGCTTCGCATATATTTGAGAAGTGAATTAAATGGTTATCACATAGAGTTGTAGATAACACTAGTAGTCTCTATTCTCCTATAGCTATAGGAGGAAGCAGAACAGAATTTGTTTTAATAAAAGTTAGGAGTATAAAACAAAATACGCTAAAAGAATTTCTTAAAACTGTACATATGCATATTTGAGAAATTCTATGAGCAGATTCTTAAATTTCTCATTATGTCAAAGTGACAGTATATTAATATATACAAAACTCACAAAATAATGAGCACACAGGCGAAGTTGTAGCAGATCACTACACAGTGGTATAGCTGTGATTATAAATAACTAATGTGAATGTATGTAAACAGATTAGACAATGGTCAATAACAAAGATGATTTGATCGGTCATGACATCATGCTAATGGTGAATTCACGGTCACTGTGAACGGCAGCTACTATTCCATGCTAACTAGTACATTATCGAAGGGAAGGAGATTGTTAGTAGTGGAGAATAATAGTCATATTGCTAACAATGTACCTCAACGCAATTCCAGTTGGAAAGCATTGTGGTTAATTCCTAGTGAATTTGCTATGATGGTATTTTTATACTCTACTGGTGCGCTAACGGTATACACTGGCGGGTATCACTCCATCATACATGAGTTCATAAAATTGTGCTACTTTTTTATTATAAACCTGATAAAGTCCTTTAGCATGTAACATAAGTACATTCACACTGCATTCAATCTTGACTTGATTAATGTGAACTTGTCAAAGATTAGTTGAGAACACTTGACGTGAAGGTTACAGTAAGTAGTTTATCTGAATTCTAAGATGTTCTTATCGATAACTTGAAGTTGTAGTAAGTAGATGTTGTGTACGTGATATCTATGTTGACACATTACGTCTGGTGTTACAGACAATTTTATATGTAGGACATAATGGTAACATTTTTAACTTGACATTTACTTATTATTACTAGCAGATTCGCGCTATTTCATCTGCGTTGAATATTGGTTGTAGCGTGATTTATGTATTTTGCATCGGTAAATAATAATAAATTATTTTTTTGTGCTGCATATCCCAGTACAAAAAAAATAAGATTGTCGCGTTCATACAAACAAACCCTTCATAATATTACTATACCCACATAACCTACCTATATAATATACATAACCTACCCATATATAGGTACATTTTAAATGACAAAAATTGATTTACATAATGATTAATGAAACTAACACCAGGATGAGATGTTATGATAGGGATAGAAATGTTAACAGTCTTTAATCGAATTTGAATATATAATCCATAGCAATAAGTCTTGTATCATTAGTCTGACGCGAAGGCCGACTCAGTGATAAAAAGATGGTAACTTTTTTCTAGAGCTAGCGAGGTATTATCTTCCTCGTCACGTCAGGTCAAATGTCTCCATCCATAAATAATTATCTACATCTCCTGTTTATTCACTATTTCACAGCTGGTTTGTCATATACATTCGCCTGCAAGTATTCTAATCTAAACACGGCCATCTCACATTTAATTCCCATGAGAGAAAATCTGAAATATTATTGATTGTATATGGATTTTTTCTCTGAAATCTCGCGTTTTATACCCAAGGTGCACTATAATTTGACAAGTTTTTCGTGTCTTGTTTTTTATTTATAAAATATCAACTATGGGTTCATATTTTAAAAACTAAAGTAGATAACTAGTAAATATAAAATGACTCCACGAAATCATCCTCGTAGATGAGGTTTTGCTTATCATTCTTCATATAAACAGCAATATCAACAAAGAAGTTTATTTATGAAGACTTAAATTCTAAAATTCCAGTTTCCAAGAACACTATCCTACAGCACTTTAATTTATTGAAAATTGAACCTTATCTTTACCTATTTATATGGATGGAATGAGTATTTGTATATAAATAATTAAAAGTAGGTATTAAATTTTCGACACTTTAATGTTGCGTTGCGTTGGGAATTATTGATACCTACATCGTTTACGTTATATTTCTCTTCTCTGAACAGAAAAGGGGATTGTTCTGTTCAAAATAAAGGATAGAATAAAGCAATGTGATTGTAATGTGAACCAGCAACCAACTTGAATTAACCTCGTACATTTTATTAGTAAGTAAACCAAAATAATTCGAATTAAACTTAACTTACAAAAATAATTAGGTTTATGATCTTCTGATATGTAATCATTCATAAATAATAAATTACAAAATTAAATAACTATTAAAATGAAAACAATAAATATATCTGTAAAACATTTTGAAGTTACTGAAGTCAGTATAAAACAACTGTCATAGAAATATCGAGTAAAAAAAGCTGAAGAATTTTTATGAAAACTATCAAGTGTAGTGTAATCAATAAATGCAACAACAAAAAAATAATACGGAAGACTAAATATTTTTATTTAAATTGTATCTAAATGGAATACGCCTAGATATTTGAAAAATTATTTAAATACAGTCTATTTTTATTGTTGGAGATATGTGTCTCTATAATTTTTATTAGAAAAGTATTCGGGATCCTAGTTTTTTTTTTAAACTGGGATTATATCTAGAAATAGTTGATTTTGCACAGTTAATAATTCAGTAAACTTTTCAATCAGCTGCCATTAACAGTTGTATAAGAATTCCATAAGAGCGTAAGTTAAGCAGTATAAAAGTAGTTTTTTAATTAAATTTACAATTATAATAGATTTAATCTAATTTACAATAATAATACTGAAATATATCAGTTTATTCAAAGTAAGTATTACTAGTGTTTATAAACTTAGGTGAAAGTGTTGATAATTAAAATATGTAGTAAAAAATAAACAAAATGTTTAATTGATTGAGTAAAAGGATGGCAATATATCGAAAGACAAGGCATTTCGAAAGTAGTACATATTGTAAATGTTATTTTCAAGTAGTGTATTATTATCAATAAGTAATGTCATGTCCACTTTATATTTCTGTACTGATTGCTTAAACATTTTTTCGATACAGATACAGAAAAATATCAAAATTATTCGCCAGTTATTACGTGATACATGAAATTATAATAGGTACTTATTATATAAACGAGATATTTAACATGATAATATTATTTAATAGCTCGTGATATTTTGACGCTTCTACAAACGTCCCGGTCACGGGTCGACTGGTCAGTCGACCTGGGTGGGGGAGCTCTTTAATAATATTATGATGGTAAATATCTCATTTAAATACTGTGTACAATAGTAACCAACTATAAAAAAGTTTAAAACAGTGAAATTATAATGAACTAAAAAAGCAAGTACCTACGAGGACAACAAGAACGACCTAATCGTGCCCAAACTTACCCAGGACCGGTTACAATAATATAAAGGTTTTAATAAATTAAGGACGCCTACTTGACGAAAATTGCAAGCAGCGCGAGGTCACGTTATAGTCAACTTGAACTTTACAAATACCTGCGTAACAACTTTAGACATGGACAATAAATAACTTACGAAATTAATACAAATAAGTGATACACAGAAGTATCAGTATCTAACAGTTACGCTTACTTTAAATTCAACAAATATCTCCAAATGAGTGAAGAAAATTCCAAACGAGCATTTAATTCAACCAAGCCTTAACAAGCGTAGTTCGAAGCAATCAAGTCACACCGCTATCATTCCAATGCAATTAAACTATTGCATTACATTATTAATCACGTGTGCGATGGTAATGAGCTTTATTAACGAGACAGTGGGTTTTAAATTGGACGTAATGGGTAAAAGTTTGGACGCACCAGTAAATAGTATTCGCCGCGTAGTTGATCGTTCACACAACACTACACGTACAGCGCGATGAACGCGTTAGGATTGACTGTTACAATACGGTTGGCCATGTTGGTGCCTTCGAACATGTGACCGTGCCCAACTTCGCGATATGATCATTAAAGCGTTCATTGAAATAGTTAAGCCTTTATTGAATATTTATTTTTCATTTCTTCTTTACACAGTTGCATGTATCTTCTACTTATAAATATATAGACGGATATTTATTCTCACTTCAAAGAAATATAATTGAAAAGTCTATGATTGGAATAAAGATGCACCTAATTTACAATATCAGATTCTATAAAAAACAAAAAATATATAATATATTTAAGTATTCAGTTAGAGAACTACCAATTTCTATTTTCAAATGTAAGAGAACTAGACTGAAGTAACTAGGTAAATAATGATATTAGGGTTGTGTTTAATTTTAATTGTTTAAAAAAATAGACAAACAACGAGATCACTGCTCCCGTAACAATCCAAATATTTAAAGTGAACAATAATATAATAAAAAGGTACTTACAGATAAATATTGAAGTGGTCCGTAAAGAAAAAACCACAGCAACTGGCCGAATGTACGGCGAGTTATTCCATCCGGTATCAGCTGATGATAAGGAAGATGAACTATCTCGTGATCTGTCCGTGTAGTTGGTAGCACTGACTCCCGCGCAGCCTCCGCTCCGCGACCTCGACGTCAACTTGGGCCTACTCATCACTATGTAAACAATATATGCATATACGTAAACGTACATTGGTATTCGAGCGTTCCGCACATGTGGTTGTCTGCACCGACGTACCTATATATTATTTTTACGCCACTTTGCGCACAATGTATACCATTATCTTTGTTATAGGCACTCTATAAAACAAGTAGATTCTTTGCTATTGTTTTATTAAAATGATTGATTTATTTTTCTATTTTGTGGCCGTCAGAATAAATTCTCAATTTACCGATTCAATACTAAAATATATCTTTACTAGCTGTCCCGGCAAACGTTGTTTTGCCTTAAAATAAAAATAAAAGTTAGGGGTGGACTACTCCTAACATTTAACATACATATAATATAATATTTAAAAACTAATACAATCATATTGTCTGTGTGATCACGGGGATGAAAATAGATGTTGGCCGATTCCCAGACCTACTCAAATGCAATGTCCTGCTCAAAATTTCATGAGAATCGGTCACCACGCGAAGCCATCATCGTCGCGGTTCCCAGTGGCAGCACACGTAGGGTCAATGTTCAGTGCCGTTTTTGGCAAAAACTTTGTGACACGAGAATTGACACCACGTCTGGTGACGTCAACGCCGAAACCGCTTCGAAGCATCGCGGCAGCCCCACGGCGCGTGTTGATGGAGCGAAAACTGTGACACGAGAATTTCTCGACGCTGTGGTTGCACCGAGGATTTTGTTAGCGCTGCTTCCACATCAGCGGTATCGGCGCTGGGCGAGCACGCACACCACGTCTGGTGACGTCAGTGTCGACGCCGAAAACGCATCGCGGCATATATATAAGATTGATTATACCTAGTCAATATCCACACATACTACATTTAGCATAGGTAATCGACAGTTACATATTTGGTACAGCTACATACTACACGCTACCAAAAATTTACTGCTTCGGCAATTTTTGTTGCTTGATTGCTAGCTATTCCACATAATATGACTGTCTACCAATTACTATTTTGAGCACAGCAATTAATACAAATGATGATTCACTGCATTTTTAAATAGTAACCGAATGAAACAATGGTGCATTGATTATTGTCTTTGACGCAAAAACGCTTATAGCCAATACAAAAAGCTAGTGTGCACAGGTTCTAAATACGTACATGGTTGCAAATTTTACAGTCACCTATCCATTTGTTATCTGTAAATAGGTAATAACATTATAATAATTACTGGGGAAGCGAGAATAAAAGTTTTAAATGCTACGACTATAAAATATAGTGTATATAGTATGTACCTATAGTATGTCAAAGTTACGTAAAAATTGTATAATTGAATCAACCAGATAAATAACAGGAATTAATATTCACAGGAAATAACATCTGTAACACAAGGATTCCCTATATTACGGCCTATAAATTAATGATATTGTGCAAAAAATTAAAAAGTATATTATTATATTGCAATACAATGAGAGTCGTGCCGTATCAACATTTAAAGAGCATGATGGAAGATCGTGGAAAGTGGCAAGAGCTCCACCGACAAGAGGGTAGCTCTTAGATTACGAATGAATGAGTGGAATATAGTGAAGTGTTTTTCCTTAGTCCAGCTTCAGTGACTCCCCTCGCCTATCCCCCGTCTGCCCATTCAACAGTTAAAATTTTGTGTTTTAATACTAATATTTCAATGTGACTTCCCCTCTTCCCCAGGGATGGAATTATCCTGGACTTCGTTTCATTATAGGAATTTTGTGAATCATCTTACCCCTTTACACAATGTCACACTTTGGGAACCAACCACCCCTAAACATATGAAGTAACTTATGGGCGGCCCCTAAAATGTCACAATGTAGACCGAAGAACATGGAAGACTTCTTTTATCTGTGACGTAGACAGTAGGTATGTTTTCCATTTTATTACTTCAAGATAAACCACACATTGCTATAATATACTCCTAGGAGACTAATAATACTAAGTGATATTTTTAGAGCCACGATCAATCATCTGTGACATCTTATAACTAATTTTATCATGGAACATATTCTAAAAGTTTAAACAACGCAGGTTACTTTAACAATTTAGTCTGGTTTTTGCTTGTACATGTTATTGCAATTATAATTAAGAAGGGAGTGTACACGTAAAAATTTTATATTTAATATTATAACGCGAAAGTGTCTTTGTAAATATGAATGGATGTTTGTTACTCTTTCACTCAAAAACTACTGAACTGATGTTCATGAAACTTTACAGTAATATAGCTTATACATTAGAATAACATATAGGCATCCTTTTTAGTAATTGGTTTTATCAGATAATTAGATGAATAGGTATTTTTAAGGATAGGTGGCTAAAAGGTGTTTCACTTACAGTGTCATGTGAAACTATCATAAATGAATAATAAAAGTGTAATGTTAAATCTTTTCATAAATCCATATTTATTTTTATAAACAAACAACAAATATTATGTAACTTTAACAACTTTTAGACAGCTTCAGACAGTTGTTATTATGTACCGTAGTTACTATGTACCTAACTTAGAAACTATTATATAACAAACAAAATCTTCAGTGATAAGTTATCTATTATAAGGTTTATAACAATCCAGTATCTACATTTTATTAGTGGTTGACAATGGAATGATGCACCTGCGCTAACGTGTTGCTCCAGCAGTGCATCAGTAGAGAATGGAGCAGATAAAGTATTTTGTTTTTTTTTTATACTACGATAGTGGAAAAAACCATACGGCCCATCTGAGGGTAAACGGTTACTGTATCCTATGGACTACTGAAACACCAGAGGTGTCATGCAATGAATATCTATAGTCACATCAAATAGTTCACTGTGGTGAATTCACCAGGAATTATCAAAATGGTTTTCATAGGCGACCTCATGGAATCAATCTAATATTGCTAATGTCATATAGAGCCAATAATAATTAAACCATATTAGTAAGAATTCCCCCTCCTTCCCCCAATCCTATACATTTATTCTAGACCATTTATGATTGTTAATAATAAACTAATATAAGAGAATATATATTTTGTATGTTTGTTTGTAATGGATAAACTTAAAAAGTAGTTGGCCAATTTAATAAAACTAGTGTTCACCCAAGAGAAATTCGACCATAATTATTGTTATTCGACGATAAAACCTGAAATCATAATTATAAGACTATTAATATATATATTAATATGACAATTAATATTAGTAACAAACAATATTAATCTATTCTCAGTTTTACCACATATTTTAATAATAAATATGAGTATCTACATATGAGTTTGCATCGTGTCATTGACTAATGATATTTTTCTATTATTAAGTATATTTTTTATTAATAATTAAAAAAATAATATTAGCATTCTTTACTTGTCTATAAACTATAAGGGTGCGAAATTTCATTTACCTCGTTTGCGCAATTAAACTAAACAAATATAAGTATCTACATACATAAATTAATACACAAACTTTGTACCAGCTTCGAGGTACAAAGTTTGTGCTTCATATATTAATTTATTTACCAATAAAAAGCTAGTATTTCACAAGTAACATGTGTTGTATTCAGTATTAGAATATGTAATTAGACCAATACAAGGCTGGGGCCTAATATTTAGCCCCGGCGCTGTACCGCTAATATTTACGACCTGAGCGCACTCGGTATTTATTGTTCTAGAATTATATTGCGAATTCCCGTTCAATTCAAACGAGGGTCGAAATTACGACAACCTGGACCGAATTCGGTCGACCGGTTCGATCTCCTAACCGGTAGGAGTTGGCCTACAGCAGCTCCGTAGGTCCTTTCGTGGGTTTGCACTATACACCTCGCACCCTGAGATTGCAGAACACAACAACTATAATCTATAAATGCAATGACTATACACTATTGATTAAAATAGTTTGTCCTAACTATCAAAACTATTAATCTAAAAAACTGAAAGAAGTTTATTATATTACACAAGCATCCAATTAGAAATCATTCTTGGCACCAATGACACTTCGAGAGCAAAACGTGGTCGACAGTTAGGTATAAAGTTTATTCTGGTAAGCAGAGTATGGATCTTTAAAGAGACAATTTTATAGACGATATCATTATATAGTATAAAATAAAGTCGCTGTCGTTGTCTGATAGAGTGGTTCTAAAGGAAGGATTATGTAGATATAGACCCGTGTGATTGCAATTAGCTAGTTTATGATAATGGAATGGTTACGTTATATATATCCAGTGGAGGATTTGAAGAGGACGAAGCAGACTTCGTATTCTTCAGTCAACCCATTCTTCACTAATTAACGATGGAATTCCAAAGGGACTTAAGGACTTTCTCAGTACTAACAATCCCCTCCCCCCAAAGTAATCTAATTTTGGGACCTAAACATTATTTAAGAATATCATAACAGAAGATTTTTTTAAAATTGTTTTTTAATTTATTTTTAGCACTGAGTAAAAAAATATACTCCAATCTGTAATATATGACTAAACCCATACATCTAATAAAAATAGGTTTCACATAGTACTATTATTTACATAACAGACTTACTACAATATAACATACGACATGTAGTGTATGTAGAGAGAGTTTAAGAAAAAGAGAAAATAATACAGAACACATAGCTAGTAATAAAAATATTGACGTGCATAGACAAGTGGCAAAACACGACTTTGATAAAATAAAAATATGGGTACAGTTATACAAAAATAGACAAAGACAACGACTAGTAAATTTTTAATTGACAGTAGTCATTTTGAAGGCTACTCTCGCCTCAAATTTTTTTAGAATATGTTCTTATCTTTCTATATAAATTCGAGTATCGTGCAACATTACTATAATTAATAAAATTAAATAATAAAAAAAGTGGGTTTCATTTTTATATCGATATGTACGAAACACTAACCACTGTAAATTAAGTACATTCTCGTTGACCTACTATTGCATGTTCCTTTGTACATAGTAACTACAAAAGAAGGTTACTTTTTCTTTGGTAATATATCTTGTAGCTGAATCTTAACTAAAGATAAAGAAGAAAATTTAATTATTTTCTTAAATAGATTTTAGACAACCTACACTAGGTTTGATCTTAGGTCGCTCTAAAATTATCTATAGCAACGCATCATATATATTATATACTTGACATAATATTCAGGGACGGACTAAGGCCTATGCAATTAAGGCGCGTACCTAGGGCACGTAATTTTTTTGAAACTATCAACCGTCATGTCATTATTGAAAAACTGTCCCGGAATTATATTTAGCCTAGCTTTACCTTATATCCGCCACTGATAATATTGTAACTTTTAGTAATCATTGTCAATTTTCCTACCCTTGGACCTAATTGAATAATATTTATAAGTCACATGTTCATATAAGTTTCTGTTGTTGTGCTGTACATGAGCATAAGTTTATTTTCCAAGTATATACAACAACAGAATACAATTTTCTAGTGCAAATATACATAAATAAATGATATCTCTTAGATAATGCATTTAAGTAACTTGTTCTATAAAGACTATTAGTCACATAAGATCACAACATAGTGGAACATATTTCTAACTACGTACATGGCAATTAAATTGCTTTTATATACTACTTAACGTAATCGTGTTGATGAGATTAAAGTGGTCATAACTATATAAGCGCTCTAACTTTTGACGTCATAATTTTTTTTAGTTTGACTATATTATTTTAATGTCACACGTTTGTCTAATATTTGATGATGACGAACTTATTCAAATTACATACTTCTTTGTACACGTTGTAACAGAATTAACTCAATACTTGACAGCTTCGTCCGGTGAAGCTTTAAAGGCCAGCTGTAGAACAGCATTAGAGTAGTCCGAAAAAAAAACTTGGCAGTTACTATATTGATATCAGCTTTTAGCTTATCAATTTAACTTTGTTTTTGTTCACTTTAGATACCGCTGGTGCATAAATTGATAGATTTCTAAAAATCAATCGTATTTACAACACCATAAAATTTTTAATCATTCAGATTTTGTTGTTTTCATGATACTGATAAAAAATGTAGGTATTGTAAATTATTTGGACTTAAATTTACAACAATTTCTAGTTAAAAAATATTTTTGTTTAAAAATTATTAAAATTAATTCTCTTATTTGGTCTATATACGGTATTTGAATTAATTCTGTTGCATGATGTAGGTATTTATTTTACATATACTTCTACAATTGTCATTTCATGTTCATGTTCCGTTTGCAATTTTTATATTAATTCAATGTTTACATATAGAAACAATATATATTACATAATAACTAAATTCATGTATATAATACAGAATTATAAATTTCACATTCTTTTCAACAATTAAATGAAAAATTTTATTTATTATATCGACAATTTTGAATATATAACTTATGTCCCTAAAAATAGTGGCTGTCACCAGACAATATACTGGACACACCTTTAACAGTATTCTGAACGTCTCGACGAACATGTAAAGCTTATTTTCCTGGTACAAACGGAAAATATTCATCGATAACGCAGCACTTTCATTTTTGAAAACGCCCTTTGTAAAAGTGCCATCAAATAATTAAATTGCACAAATTCCATTTTTATGAGAGGATATATTTTTTATATTCGGCATAAATCAGTCATTCCATTATACTCTCAATTTTACGTTAATCACAGCTAATTCTGTGAAAATCCTGTAGTAGTAAAGTATTAGGTTAAGGCCATCATCCCGTAGGCCTAATAAAGAATCCATTTTTATTGACCTAAAATAAATAAATGATTAAAACTGAATGAAGAAAGTATCTAACTATTGTAAGTTAAAAAATGTTCTCATATAAAACATGTTGCATTTCGAATTGGTTTATACTATATATTGGAATAATGTTGTAAGTATCAAACTGAAAATTTAAGCTTAATATTTTAATAGTTGAAGATTTAAAAAAGAACTCTCCATAACTCCATACTTACTTATTAAGTTAGGAATAATCATTGACCATAAAATTAGATGACTACATTTGATTTTTACCAATTCTGAACCATCAAATGTATTTGATGTGCTGACTATTTCACCAAATTTTAATTCTTGATTGTCTGTAAAAAGAAACATTTATTTGTTACCACACCAATCATTTACGTACTTATAAGTAGTTGTATTTCATAGTTCTATAAATAAAATTAGCTGTTTGTTGCACTAAACACACCACGTTATCATGTGGCTCCTGTGATACCACTTCAGCGTTATCATTACGGAGGGCTAAGATGTGACCCCTCCGTCCCTTATAATTTCAGTACCTTATCTCACTCTTCAACTGAAACACGGGCTTACTTAATTCATTCAAACTGCTTGGCGGCCTATTAAGTTACATAGAGATACTGAGACGATTTGTTACAAGGTCTACTCGGTTGATTCTATATAAATATTTTCTGTACAACATTATAACCAATAGTGCTTTGTCGTCGAGAGATTTAACCAGTCGGGAGATTTGATTATTATTGATTATTAACATATACAAAATAAATATATTTCTTTATTATAGCAAAGAAAGCAAACGAGCTCGGGGCACTCCTATTCATAAGTGATTACCACCGCTCTCGAGTACCCTCAACACCAGGGAAATTGTAAGTGTGTTGCTCGACTTTTAACAAAGAATAAATTCATTTTTTGTATATTGAAACATTATACATATCGTGAGTGACCATTTAACGTCGTTATTCTGAAGAGTTCCCGGTTCAGTGGGCCCATTCATATTGTATAATCACGCATGTTAATATAGCGTGCTCTAGTACTTTAATCACTAAGTCTAATAAATATTTACCTAAATTCCATTTCAGTCCACTAGTCGTAATCCTTTCGCATGGAGTTCCAACTGGTACTAGAGAGCACCACGCTTTTCTGTGTTGCCTCGTCTCCTCAGGTATGTTGATGACATGGTCTCCAGGCGACAGAAGCCACGATATCGAGTCATCTGATAATATATATACCTTTGTGTTTGGATTTAGTAAGTTCTTTTCTTTAACAAGATGCAATGTCTGTATATTGCCAAGAATTTGATCTATTCTACCTGAATTCTGACAGATAGCTACGATGTGGTCGAGCTGTATAAATAAATTGAATAAATAAAATTAGATGCTCTTTGAAATTTAAAAGTAGCTTATTGCATAGTTTAGAGAGGTATTTTCTTGTCCTCAATATCTTCTTGTACCACAATTTCGCACTCAACCGAACTTTGTTTCTGTTGAATGACGACATAAGGCAGTGTAATTACAGGATAACATGCATATCTTAGTCCCTCGTTATGGCCATGCTGAGTGGTACCAACTGATGTTCCTATTGAAGCCACCTCTATGCGACAGTTACCACTAACCATCAGATGGGCCGATAGTTTGTTTGCCAATCAAATTATTCAAAAAACATTAAAAGCCGTCATTTTGTAAATTGTATATAAATAAATAGATTTACATATAGTTTTTTAATTACATTAGAGTAATTAACACATAATAAATCTAAATAAATAAATTGATAGCGTTAGTATATGCCGAAATGTAGCGTTGTGACGTTCGTATGGACAATTAACACAAATAAGATATTTCAGCTTTAAGAACATTTTTATACATTTACAAACAAATACATATATGTAAATATGAGTATATACTCGTAACTGACCTGTATGTTTACTTCTTGGCAATATTTATTCAATTCTATTAATCCTTTCGTAAAGTCAGTATGATTTTGATCTGGAGTTCGTATTGTCTGCAATTAAAATAGGTTTTAATAAGTTACTTTATAAAAAGTATAAAAGAAGCGGATAACCACGTCTTCGATTGCGTCGACATAATTTTTATTTTTTGGAAAGTATATATTTCTAAAATAAAATAGCCTAAGTTACTCTTATACCATTAGCTATCTACGAGTGAAAGTCCCAACAAAATTAGTCCCGCCATTTCAGAGATATACACGAACAAACAGATAGACAAACAAAAAATTAAATAATAATATGTAAGTATAGTCTATCTTTCAAGTGAATTTAGTGAAAAGCTGTTTAAAAATTACAAATAAAATTTCAATTTCAAATCACTTTATTTTATTTATTTGTGTAGATTATTCTATTAATATATTACAATATACCTTAGCTCCTTTCTTTCTATATTTATTCAATATATCTTCTGTGATTGAGTCAAAGTCTCCTGTTACAAAGTCTGGAAGTTTGATAGTGTTTTGTACATCTTCTGGTAATTGATTTAGGAATGTGTCCCAACGAACAGTACCACCATCAACTGTAATTCTCACTGAAGCTATAGAGAAAAGTATATTTGCAATAACATTATATGTATACACACACATAGAAGTTATGATACTTTAGGCTACTGACATATGGTTGATAAGTTGTCAGTTTCGGGGCGCATTTAATTCAGTTATGTACCGTCATATTCCTTCACTATGCTAGCTGCATTAGTGCAACTTGATTGTATATCAGCAGCCTTAATTCCTTCTTTGACATCAAAGCTACAGAAACTCCAAACCTTTTACTAAATATATAGAAAACTTATTCTGTGAAGAATACATAAGAAGAACCTATAACTGAATCTATAAGTAAGTTATTCTGTGATATAGATAATTAATTATTGATTAAAATACGTAGTTAACTTAGATACTGTCATCACATCACAAATATTAAAAAATAAATTTCATTATTAGTTGTTACTATACACCAACATTTATTTAATTTCCAAAAAAATATAATACATACTGTCACAGCTTTAATGATGTGGTAAAGAGAATCATTTTCTACAGTCCATGTCGGGATTGTGATGAAGACAACACTTTAGTTTCTTTATTACCAAATGAGATATATTTAAAGATGTAATAGTAGTAGATCTATACTAACTCACCATTATTCCAAAAACTTTTGATAAACTCTGGATTTTGTGTGATGGGTCGATTCAATATGAGTACAGCATATTTGTCTTCAACAGTTCTATTTGATTGAAACATAATGAATTGTTTTATGTTCCACTGCCAACACTTTATCACATTAAAGGATTGTCCACAACAATTGTGCTGAATACAAACAATATTTCTTAGTTTTTTGACCTAGGGATAACATTTATGTATGTAAATATATTGTACTCTGTGTTTAATTTTATGGAGAAAATTTTGACAAATTTGTTTATGAGAACTAATTTCTTTATAATAATGGTAGTGGTTGACCACAAATATTTATTTTTAAATTATATAATTATCTGATATTAAAATAATTACTGTAAAATAGGTGTGTATCTCAGTTTATTATAACTTTTAAATTATATAAAGAAAGTTAAAATTACACATTTATGAACTGTTCTTATCTGAAGCATAAAGTTCATGACTATGATTAGATAAACATGTCCCACATTTTCATATTTATATATACAACATATAAGAAAGATATAATAAAATATATTGATGTTTATTACTACATTAAGTAAATGACCAAACATTTATGACAATCTTAGCCTTATTTAACTGTAACATACTGTTTTTATGATAATAATATATAGTAGCACCTGTCTGCACTAATAGTATATGCTAAAATGGGACCAGTTAATGGTGATGAGATGAGGATAGTTACCCCACAATAGTGAAATCACAAGGAATTTACTACAATAGTATGCAGGAGAAGCTGTGTGAATATCAACTTAATGGGATAAATTATTAACAATGGGGTCATTAGTCCTCATTAGTAACAATCCCTTCCCCTAACATAAAAAATTAAAGTACATACCATGTTGTTTATGCTGCCATTGATAGCCATTGAAATTATGTAGCCTGTGCTGGCACCTAATTAGAGGTATAAGACTTAAATATTAAGTATATTTAAAGCGCCGTCAATGCATCAATAATAACTTAGTAGCTAAGGTAGGCAGGCTCTACCGAAATGCAATTAGGATATTGCGACCTATAAATAATGTATAAGATAATAATTATTTATCGTCTTTAAAGAAATAAGAACTGAAATGAAATAAGAACGATGAAACTGCCGAAAAGAACTAATTATGAAATTACTTTTTAATAATAATAATACACGCAAATGTACGAATTCAATATATATGTTTTTCATATAGATAGTTATAAAATGTTTATATTTGAAGTGCTATTAAAATTATATAATAATAAAAAATAAATAAAAAAACGCATAAACAAGTACATTGACAATTGTACGTAAATAAGACAGTGTGACCCAAAGAATATACTACTACCTGACCAGCTGCTTCACACACGTGCTCATGTCATTTAAATTTGTCACTGTCAATAATGGTCAATTATTAACACTGACAACTTCATGGCTGTATAGACTGAGTCCTTTTGCCTTTCCCTAAAAAGGGAAAAACCGAACCAAAAAAAAAATAAAAAGGGACAACTTCAAATGGGGTACTAGAGAAGTAGGAGTACAGTAGAAGTACTAGGAGAGCCCAAATGGGATAATGATAAGGGAAGAAGCAGATGATGATGACTAGAAGCGCCCAACAAATACAGCTCTTAACTTAAGAAAATGTTCATTGAAAATTTTAGGTTTTCGAAGTGATACCATTTTCTCCCTTCTACAAATATGAATACCTCGTACGAGATGTTGACTTACAAAAAATACTTGTATACGATGTTAAAGGGCCAAATTGGAGTTAAAATGCAATATCTTATTAGATTTTTTTTCTTTGTATTAATACCTTACTAATACAAAACTTTAAAGTTGGCATCTGTGACAATAAATGTAAGGCGTAGTATGTACTCTGTGGTAATACATAAAAAATAACAAAGTGTTTTCAACTTTTCAATACGCCACCTTTCAAGTTCGCCACAAATCTTTATTAAATTTCTTTAATTTTTTTATAGTATTGTAAATATCTTTGCCAATCAAAATGAACAGAATATTCGGTAGAGGAAAACCTAAAGAACCAGGTCCAAGTATTACGGATTGCATCAGTAATGTAAGTTGGCTAAATATTTTTCTGCATTGTCTGATGATTCACACAATGAATCTCTTATTCTGTAAATTTTGGTAATACCTTGTATGTTAATTTAAATTGCATTAACTCGTTACTGACTATATTAATTATTACTATTACTAGAAGTACAGTCAATATATTTAGTAGTTTACATTATTCACTCAAAATCTTCAGTATTATATTGCTTATTAAATGTCTTAATATAGTAAACAACGTATTTTTATAATTAAGAAAGTATGTACTATGATACCACACCTTAGGCATTAGATAAAATTGCCGTTAAACTATTACTATGAAATTGGATCTTAAACATAGTGATTAATAATGTTAAATTTTGATCATAGTAATAAAACCACTATTTTTCTATCGATGATAATTACGCTTGCTTGATGCTTCTGGTGGATGATAAGATGAGCATGAGGCCAGATTATATACCTGTGTGGATGTCAACCTGACATGGCTATCAATGTGTTCAGATGTTCACATTACTAATAATCCCTTTCCCCCCAATATAACTTACTATGCGGTGTCGCTTTATTATTGTGTACAAGGTAATATAAGCTCTTAATTAATTAAAAAAAATCTTTATTTGCAAGGTTGACAGTCGAGCTGACAATATTGAGCAAAAAGTTCAGAAATTGGATACAGAACTTCGTAAGTATAAAGATCAGATGGCCAAAATGAGGGAAGGTCCAGCTAAGAATTCAGTGAAACAGAAGGCAATGAGGGTATTAAAACAAAAGAAAATGTAAGTTATATATTCAATTATATATTCAAGTTTTAAGGAGAAAATAACTGTTTACATGGAGATGGAGATGTTGAAAAGTGATTGAAAGATTGTGAAATTTTGCACATTTTATACACTGAACTATTTCATTTAAGATTGATTATTTCTCTGAAAATATTTTAAAATTGTTTTAGCTTTATATGGAGGAAAAATTATGTTATATTGAGCAAGTGACAATAAAAATTTACTATATATATATATATATATATTATCCCTTGAAGATTTAAATTTTAAAATAGTTTATAAGGTTAAATTTTAAGCTTTTTACTTCTCAATTTATATTGAACTATATTTTAAAATTTATGTGCATGACTGCACATGTTATGTGTATGTCAATCTTTTTAATATATATATATATATATATACTTATATTATAAAGCTGAAGAGTTTGTTTGTTTGTTTGAATGCGCTAATCTCAGGAACTACTGGCTCTTTGAAAAATGATTTTTGTGTTGGATAGTCCATTTGTCAAGGAAGAAGCTATAGGACATTATGTTATGACCAATAGGATACATTTGTTCATATTTTTGTACAATATGAGAGAAATAAATTTATTATTATTATAATTCTAGGTATGAGCAACAGTTGGAAAATTTAAGAGCTCAGTCTTTCAACATGGAACAAGCAAACTATGCCACACAAACCCTGAAGGATACACATGCCACTGTAGCAGCCATGAAAGATGGTGTCACACAGATGAAGAAAGAGTTTAAAAAAATCAATATTGATTCTATAGAGGTAAAGTATAAAGCATTTATATTTTGTATTTCTTAATTTTTCTTGTGTTTTGTTAAAAATTGTGATCATACTTTTTGTCATTTTTATATGGAAACAAAATATAGACATATATAACAACATATACATAAAGAAATGACAATACCATTGAAGTATATATATGCTGATGTATATTTCAAGATTATAAAAATGTGCTAAACAGCACATCCAATGGATCAAAATTACATTCCAGAACTAACAAGCTGTAAATATAAGGTATAAGTTACTGGTACAAGTGTTTGTAATGCTACAGTATGTTATGTCTAAATTGATACATGAAAAAATTAGTTTTGAGTTGACATATCCACAATTTATGAACATGGTCTAGTATTTTTTTTTCTTATGGATGTTGGAATGGTGCACCTGCCTGCGCTAAAGGTTTGATATGGCAGAGCACCAGTGTAGGATGAGAAAATTAGCATGAGGCCAAGTCAGTTAGCCCAACATGGTAAACATAAGTCTACTTTACTAACAATCAGTCAGGCATACAGAGTGAATGTCAAATTACCTTTTATAGTGGTTATTAAATTTAAAACATTTATTATTGTTTATATAGATGTACAAATTTATTTTACAGGATGTGAATGATGATCTGGCAGACATGTTGGAGCAAGCTGATGAAGTGCAGGAGGCACTTGGCAGGCAGTATGGTATGCCTGAGATTGATGATGACGAACTTGCTGCTGAGTTGGATGCTCTTGGTATTTATATTTTTTTATTTTTAATGCTATTCCTAAGTAGAGTATGCTTATCTTAAAAACTCAAAGTAAAGGTTGAGTGCAATATTTAACTTAGTGTTGTGATTTATCATATATAGTACATTTTCTTGATGTAAAATCATGACAGTGGAAAATATTTATTGGAAAGTATTAGTGTCCATTGTTCCTCATATAAACTTATTTATTGTAATAAAGCGTTGATACAATATTATCTATTATTTTATTAAGAATGGATTCTATTATTTTAATAAGATCTTAGATTTTGTTTATATATATGTTGAGCCACATTTAATAACATATTCCATGAAAACTTCATTCTAATTCTTTCAGCCATTTTTATGTGAAACCTTAACACAAAAATAGACAGCTTTTCATATCGTCACAATTTTACATTATTATTATACAAGATAAAGGAGACAAAATCTGTATCTTCTGTGGAGACAAATATTTCAAATAATAAATGTTCTTTCGCACATATACTACATATATGCTCGGTATTTCGCAGGTGATGAGATTGCATTAGATGACGATGCATCATATCTAGACGACGTGGTGAAGGCTCCGGCGGCTCCAGATAAGGAACCTGGGGCAGATAGCGTACGAACAAGAGACGGTGTAGCAGTCGACGAGTTTGGACTACCTCTTGTACCCACTCCTGCACAGCCTTCACGCTGATGTAGTCTCTGGGTACCCGATTTGTATAACGACGGTTGTCAAAGCCAGCCAGTTAGGTGATATTGTAATGTTAACTAAGTTCGCATTTTCATCAGTCAATAATTAACAGTCTCTGTGTGGTGACAGGGTACAAACACAAGATGTCTGACTCCTTCTGGGATAACAGATATGAAAATTCATCAATATCAAATTCGTATTTGACACTTGAGAACTCGCTCTGTGTGCTTGTACAATTTGTAAGTCCATACATATGGTGCGAAATATCATAGCCGACTTTTTTTACCCGACATGGCGTAAAAGGAGTGTTATGATATTGACCGGTATGTATTTAGAATTCGCTTTTTGTAGCACCTTATTGAAACAAGTTATTATATATAACCCCATTAAAAGAAATATTAGTGTATGGAATGAATTGTATCCTGTATGCGTTGAACTTAGTAGAAAGCTATAATAGTACATCAATATCATTTTTCATAAAATCAATGTTAATTACTTTTATAATTACAGATATCCTCGTTATGTTTCATTGAAAGTGTTATATTTAAATCAATATAAATAATAGTGGTTATAAGATTTTAAATTAAATTTATTTAGTATTAATATTTAATTTAATGTATATCCATGATTACAATAAATGGAAATTACATCAAAATATTTGTTAATAACAGGAATGTAGTCTTGCTTCTTTACATACAAATTATGGGAACACATAAGCTAATGTACATGAAACATTTCAATTCCCACCTATTTATTAATTTTATACATCGTTATTTCTATAAAAACATAACAAGATTGTTTACAAATGTGAAATAAATTATTTTTTCTTTAAAGCTGATAACCAATTAATTTCGAATACTGCTTAATGTGCACAAGTTCACAGGCACTGCAATGAAGATGCTGCATGCAATAAAATTGTTAATATATTCTGCACATAGTAATATATTATTAATAATATTTAATTATAAGTTTAAAACATTACATTCATCATGTATAATTCCAAAACGCTTGAATTGATTTCTATGAAACAAGATTAAATGTAAACCAATTTAAATTAAATATAAAGCATTGAAATCTTTTCTTTTGTTTGGAATAATGACGATGGACATGCAAACAAAAACTTCAGACACTCAGTACTAATACTGCTAATTTAAAGATATTTTTGCGTATGTAGTAGTGTTATACAGAAAGTCACTAAAAAAAACAGTTTAAGCTAACCAACACGTATATCTTCGTTAAAATGGTGATTAGTTTGATCTGAAATGGAATACACATTTTTAATTTGTGATTTAAAAGCCATGTTTAATATATAAAATTACAAAGTCGGTATTACTATTTTCTATTATGAAGTTTATGCTTTTGTCTGTAATTATATCTAAATGCATCTGTTTGTAAATTAATAAACTTAAGTTTGTACACAGACTTTTATTCCTCCAAGCATAAAGCTTGTAATTATATACGTACTTGTAATGGTCTACGTATTTAGAAGTGTATTTTAATTTATTAAAACAATAAACAGAATAGTTGGTGAATGGTACATTTTTGGAAAATGATGCTACTCATGTTAAGTGATGCGGTAAAATGAAAAGGCCTAAAATAAATAAAGAAGCAGTTACAAGAATTTTTCTTTCAATAGATATTAACATCTAGTAAAGAGTCGATGGTATTTATGATGCGTTAGCCTTATAACTTAGATATAATAATAATAATAATCCTGAACAAATCACACATATCCATAAGTACACAATTGATACAAATACAAATTTTATAGATAACACCCAGATAATTACAATTATTCTCAGATTACATCATGGATACAGATGTTTGCGAGGAATAGAACCCGCGGCTATTGTGTAAAGCGAGCTTCGAGCTAATCTATAGAACTTGGTAGCATCTAAGTATATAATTGATATATATAGCAGATATTAAATAATTTGCAGTGACAAATTAATCATTAAGACGGACATGAAAATAAAACAACTAATTCCATGAATATATATATATTAGTGTATAGTGACGACATGCATCGAAAATAAAACAAATTATTTCAATATACAGTTGGCAGAGATGACATGCTGTTGAGTTGTCGACAGTTAATATGACATGATTCTTAATTCATTATTTAGATCAATATTCAACGTAAATAAAACAATATGGTATGGTAAATTAATCTTTAATAATTAAGTATAATAATTTAAAGACATTACATTAAGGTCAACACTAAAATACTGTTTTTTCTTATCTGTATATACTGCATCGCAGTAATTGTTAACACTCGGAATTGGTACCACCAAACAAACCCTTGACGCTATAATGAGTGTCAAGTGTCTCGTAGTCCGCAAGGTGCAAGAAATAACAATCGAAATAACTATTTTAAATTACAATAATACCTGTATTTCTTGAACGGTGCGGACTTGGATTCGAAGTGTCAATTCGATCAGCAGAGCACTCATGGCATATAAATAAATAATACTTATTTATGCAATATTTACATCCTAATAATAGGGACCTCGTGGAGCCGGGATGAGGCTAGGCAGAATTAATGATATGTACAACCACTCCGAACTTGCGATCTCTACACATTGCAAACAGTCTAATTATTTAGCACTATATTTCAAACAATAACTCGTTTAGTCTAGAGCTTCTTGTCCGGTCTTTGGCAGTAAGAAGACGAGGAAACCGGAAACTGAAAAATAGAAAGGAAAAAATGAAATTGATATGCAATGTAAATACAAATAATAAATAAGATACATATTAGATGCACAATCATTTGTCACGGGTATTTAATGTCTCTTATTACATTATGGAAACAAATATTGCTTGTATTAGGTAATTTAGAGCAATTAATATTATAAATTGAAAAGACTTAATAGACAAACTCAAAGAATAATTATTCGTTTCTAAAGAGATCTGTAGCCCTACCACCGGCATACATGTATTATAGCTGCCCTTTTTTGCTCTAAAAAAGGGCGAGCACAATATGCAATAGCAATTGCTGCCTAGGCCCGTCTACGGACAAGAATTGAAGGTTTTCTTAGGAGTGATGGTTTTTCTCTCCACAGGATAGAGTATGTATTTTCCAAAGGTGATACATATTTAGTTTATGAACGAGTGGGCTACAACCACATAGGATGTGTAGCGGAGTTTCTTTTTCCATTTTAATTACCTACAGAAATTAATATCTAATGTATTTTATTTTGAAATCTGTATTAGATCTCTTATAATCGCACCAGTGCGAAATTGGAGCCGGTAGCTTGTAGAGACCAATTTTAAATATCTGTATAATTAGCATTTTATTTAAGAATTGTTACTACTTACTGAATAGGAATGACGCGAAGGTGACTATGGGTACAATACAGTTGATGTCAATTAGGTAACCAAATGATAGGTTTCCTATGAGACCACCACCTCGACCGGCTGTCAGTGATAGCGCTGCTGCCATTACCCTGTCGAAGATAATAAATATAAGTATACAGAAGTAGACTTTGTAAACAGTCGTTTGCTTGAGCCCCTCAGTCTGCGATCAGCTGCCAAGCAGTTTGATTTGTAAGATGTGTTTCGGTTGAAGATGGAGACATGACAGTGTAATAACTGTACAGAGGCATGCCACTTTAGACCTTCAGAATGTCATGAGGTACGACTGGCATTACATGTAGACTTCATGTCTGTGGTGCTGTTCGCGTGGGCTTGAAGGATGAGTTTTAGGATTTAAATTATGTATTAATATGATTGTTTTACTTTGCAATGTCCTTAGAGATATTATATATTTTTAACTATGACTTCATTAAGTTGCTTATAATTTTGAAAGATAAGATGTTTGATTATGCGTTTGTGCAAATATTTAATTAGGACAATGGAAAATATTATTTGGATAGAATAGTTTTTTATTCGTCTTTTTCGTAAACCATGTAGGTCTATTGTGGTCTAGTTAAAGAATGATGATCTAATTTACTTAATATAAATTGAATTCTAATTTAAGTATTTTTAAATTTTAGACTAAGGCTTACTATATCATGTTTCATTACCTGAGGTTTGTAGGGAATAAGTCGACTAATATGCAGAACAACACACTGATGGCAAGTGAGGTCAGCGCTTCGAATATACAGGACAGAACCAAGTTTTGAGTGGAGGTCTCGACGTAATACAGCAATACAGTTGTGATGCCGGCAAGGAACAAACTGAAAACTATTGTTTTGACGGTTTAGTACCTCAGTTGAATAATACAGTAGGTACGTACTTTTAAATTTTAAAAAAACCTTAGATGTTGTTTGTAATATATTATATAGTATTGCAATCGATGGAAACCATTGTAATTTGAAAGAAAAGTCATCAAATCTTATATAAAAGATGTAGATTTAAATTGTAAACATTTTTTGACATTTGTCCCACAAATATACTTACTTAAAATGAATTTGGCACCAAGTTTATGTACACACAAAGGCAGCCATAGCGAGGTCGGAATACACGCCAGACCGACAATAAGTGTGTGCATGTAGACATTCCTGTCTATGGTTTTCAAGCAATCGAATGGGTCTTCGGATCCTTCGTCTATTACAATACCGGATACGTCACACACTGACGCGGAGGTGTTGGGGAAACGTTGCTCAAACTCTTCATAACGATTGAACAACTCAGGGAACCAGATCATGAGGGTGTAGTAACTGAAAGGAATTAAAAATTATTATTAGTGAATGTATAGAGATACTACGATATAGATTCATAAGAAAACGATCAGTACGATGTTAGCGCGATTTAGTGATATACCTACACTGATTCAGTTTACCAAACATTATGTAAACGAAAAAGTTTAAGATATTTCTTGACGACATGGTGATATGACTATCAGATATATAGGTACTGGGTGATAATGATTAATATCTTGTAAGTTTTTCATATACATATCAATCTAGTGGTGTTGATCTCCAAATTTAGGTTACCAATTCTATTTCAGATTTCAACATATTATATCTCAGTAGCTATAAACACAATTGGATAAATTCATGTCATAATTCAATTGTACAATAGTTACCGATAGACGCTGAGGTTTTAAACTTCGTCATGTTAACTACAATCAGTATGCAACACACGAGCAAATATATGGAGTTAGGTAAGTTTTACCTGGTAGTTAAGCCGAATTGGAGAAGGCACGTGATAATGGTGTACTTGAGGTATGGAGGCCTGCAAAGAGCCTTGGTTTGTACCCAAATCTCTCCAAACAGTCTTTTCAGGTCTTTAGGTTTGCGCATGCTTAGACTACGAACAGATTTTTGGGAATTTTGGGATCCCACCGATATGGTTCGCACTTTTTCCTTGAGGCTTTTGATCTGTAAAATAAGAAATACAAATTTTAATAGTTCATCCCAGAACTTCATTAAAATATTATGAATTGTTTAAAAATGTAGCTAGTAGCTGTAAAGAATGGCATGTACTTATAAGATATAAGAGTATGATATGAGATGAGTATGTAGATATAAGAGTTGATTCTTACCTATCTAATGATATTTTGTATAATTGCTCAAATAAATGAAGTTTCATATCCAGATAGAAATTAAGATGGTCTGGACTGCAATTTTATACATTATACATCTGTTATTTATCTGCAATAGTTATTGTCTATAGACATTGAACAACGTGTCTCTACTTGTGTGTATGTGAATGTTAATGTCAGACTTTAGCAGTTATAGTTTTATTACACAATTGTAATTGTTAGTCCAGAAACAAATTAATAATCATCATCTAATACCTAGTCAGGTTAATACGTTGTGTTCGCATTATGGCGGCAATAATACCTTTTCGTTGCTAAAGTATAACAATTAAAAGTGTGCATACGTGTACAGGGACCCAGTAATATTGCAGCTCTTCAAACTATTCCTTCACGAACTTGTACTATATACTAGTGAAGGAATAGGTATCAGTGAAGGCGACATTGTACAAAGTCTTTTCTACTTATTAAAGTTTTTGTACTTACGGGATAGTTATCGGCGTCATCACCAGTGTTTTGTTTGTAAATGCTCTTGAGGCAATTAAGGGCATCATCGTAGTCTCCAACTTCCATCATGAATTTAGGACTTTCAGGGAAAGCGAAGAGCCAAACTCCGAGTAAAATTGAGGGTAAACCGCAAGCAGCAACGAACCAATTCCAGGAGTCATAAGAAAAGCCTCCGCTCTCGATTCTAATGCCAGTGATGGGAATGATGCCCCAGGCAATCACTGTGAATAAAATATTTTTATTGAAACTAGAAATATGGTCCATGGTATAGTTAGTGGTACATAACCGTCGCTTATATATATATGAATGAATATCACCACATGCATCAAATTATGTGATGCCCGTGGTATTTCCCCCTTCAACTAAAAACATATTTTACAATGCAGACTTAAAACAGGCGAGAAGTTTGGTGTTAATTGAATTTGTTTTATTGTGTCCATGAATAATCATGAGTTTTAATTAATTACGGCTAACCTAACTTAATAAAAGAGGGTTATGATTAATCTGCTCCATATATTAATAACCACTCATACCTATATTGAGAAAAATGTACCAACATTCGTTGTTGAATAGTTTATCGTGTTCTTGTCTCAAGTTGTTCATTTTCACAACTCATAGAGGAATGGCTAAACATTATTTATATACCTACTATATGTAAAACTTAGCGGTTGGCGGAATAAACTTTTTAATTTTATCTATTTGAATAAGACATCTACTCAAAGGAACGATCTAGAAAACGGAAATAGCAGTATTTATTATAATTCTATAGCTGTAAATTCACCAGTTGATTTTATTTTGTGTAATGAAACAAAAGAAAATCGTTTGATGAAAATTTTTGTAAATTTTGTTTTAATATCAAATTGGTAATTTCTTTGCTTCATTAATTGACCAATGATATTTAAAATTATGATCTTATAAAACTTTTTAATAGTATTAAATCACGTTTGTTTTACCATTCATATTCATTCGTGTAATAATTACAGAATACTTTATAAATACGAGAAACTAACTAGTTATGAATCCTATAAATTCATTTAACATCTATTTATGTCAAAACATGTTTAACTTACGTGGTAATATTATGACACCTAAAGTCCAGAAAATTTCCATCCAGCAGAGGATTTTTTCTCTGTATTTCGTGGCCTGGAACTCTCCCAAGTAGGGGAAGACGAGACCCATGGCTCCCGCAATGCTGTAATACATTAAAGTATATTTTAAAAGTGAAAATTATGATAATACACATAAAAAACACCCAGATCACCCAAACAAACAATCATACTTTGAAAATAGGTTAAAGTAAAAAAAAAAAGGTTGTTGCGAGAATCTGCGGCCATCGCAAGTAAGGTCATCGAATCTAAATCGCTAGACCAACGAGGACGTCAGTCGTGCAGTCGAAGGCTAGATATAGGACTTATGTATATTATGGGTTATGACCACTTTAAGAAAGGGATTGTTCATAAATAAGAGAAACAATAACCCTATTATTTGCCATTTGCTACTATTGTCTGGCGACTATTATCTTGACTGTAGTATTGGATTTTGGTAAACACTCCAGTAGGCTGGTGGAAGACGATTTGGGTTAAGAGGTTTCTCGTTGTTCTCCTAGTTATGACATCTAAGGGATGAAAAAGTGTACCGACAAAAGCTTTCTTTCTACATCGGCACATGAATAAACTTTAAATGTGTAAATACTACTACTAATACTAATACTAGTACTAATAATACTACCATTAAATATAACTCATACGTATGAGTTACTAACTATTCTAAAAAACGATTAATTAATTATTAAGCTAACTGATTCAAAGCGTAACTCGAAGGAGTTGATGACACTACTTCATGTCTTATTTATGAGTAATTATTGTGGGAAACGTGTGACGATACACAGATGCGAGTGTTATAGTGGCTATTGTAAATTTCGTTGTTTCTGAAATAAGTCTTAGTGGGTATGCATTAGAATCTACAATCGTTTAAGACTTATTGTTCGTTATGTGTTCCGACGCGATAGCTACAAATATATCTATTACATAAAGTCACGTGCTGTATCACATGGCTCGTTTTCTTTAGTACGTACCAAAAACCGTTAACGAAACGGCAGACCATGAAGATGGAGAGGACTTGGACGAATGAGGACACGATGCCAATAACTCCGTCTATGAGCAGTGTTGAGATCAGCACTACTCTGCGGCCTTTTGTATCAGCCAAGGATCCCCAGAAGTATGAACCGAGTACCATTCCTGCACAATAGTAAATAGGCATAGTTAGATACTTAATGATAATAAATTCTATTTCCTTCTCTTCCTTATGAAATTTAGCATCTAAATAAGTTACAATATGCGGCTTGCATAACACAGTAAGAGAGCAACATGAGAACAACAAGACTAGAAATCTTGTACCTTTAATGCAATTATTCTTAGATGTATTTCCTATTTTATGTAACCTTATTTACCTTTAATACTATTTATTACATTATATACCTTCGGAATGGAGGTGCCTTTTCGGAGCATTAAGATGTCATACACTACACTGTAATTTCACTGCTTTGTCTCTCCCTTCAACCGAAACACATTTTACAAAGTAAGATATGTTTCGGTTGATAGGAGTTAATGAAATAAGTGAGAGACAGGCACCTAAGCAGAAGAATAAGATTTAAAACTCACCCAACATAGGCGCGGCAGTGAGCCACCCTTTATCGGAAGATGTCATACGGAAATCACATGTTGCGGCAGGTAATACGAACGAAACAATAGTGATGCCAATCGCGGTGTTTGCATAGATCAGCCCAGTGACCGCCAGTAAGCAGAAATGGAAGCGACCGAATCCTGCAAATATAAAATATAACTTAAAGTCACTACTTAGGTACTAAGTGATACTCTCACTGGGGTTAAATCTTACTGAATATTATAAAGTTAAGTTTCTTTTGGAGTAAATAATACAATTTGTTGAGTAATGTCCTTGCTAATTGATATTGGTATTATTATGAGCAAGAATATATTTAGTTTATATACATCTGGGTATATTAGAATAAAACGTAATCGAGTTTAAGAATTTAACTGCATAAATTTTGTTAAATTAATGTTTCTTTGTTATAATAGCTCATTATTTCTTAATTATATTATAATATAACGGCATCTGTACAAATTTTGAAGATTTTTTTATTTAAATACTAAGTGAATCACATTATTTAGTAAAAACACAGTTATCATAATATTACATAGTGCTATTAAGCTTTAAGCATTAAGCTCGCCAAATTGTATAATTTTTAAAAGTGCAATTAAAAAATATAAACATAAATGAATAACAAAATATACATACCGGTGGCGGAAATGGCAGCTTCAAAATCAGCTCCATTTTCTAAGAAGTCCAAACCTGTAAACAATAATGAATTATTAGCACTTATATTATTGTTTCCTTACCTATTTGTACACATTGTTGACTTGAGATAAGATACTTATGAGTGCACTTAACTGCTAAAATAGGCTTTCGGATTTTCATTAATGTGATATGCGTTTCGTTACTCATTCTTCGTTTATATACAGAGCTACATTGAAACAATACAGTATTGTGAAGGTTTCCTGTAAATTTTGAAGTTCTTACACTTATTGAAGGATTGAAGTAGTAATTTAATTATTATTTTGTAGTTTTAGTTCAAACAGCATTCATTAACAACAAAACTAGTTATGATCTATTGATAAATTACTTCAACATTTTTTAATTGTCTACCTTCATTTTACTGACTGGTGAGAAAATTGTTCGATAAACTTTTCGTTCTATTTGTGATTATGTTTTGCATGTCTCTCAAGAGACGTAGGTAATATATTTCGCTTATAATAATTTATTTTAACATTTTATATATATAGGTAGTTACGATATTTACAAGTTGTTAAAATTATTTATACACGTCATAAAGAAACCATTTTTACAATATTGTCTGAAATTCTACGTAAGAAAAACAACTATAAAAACATATCCAGCTACCTACCTAGCATTTAATAAAAATTGTAACAAAACTAGCAAGTATATCAAGGGCATAGCTGTGCAACTTTCATAATAACGATTCTGTAAATATACCCGTCATGTAATATACAGGTACATATAGACTTCATTGTATTTTTAAATAACGCCCAAAAGTTAAATCAACATAAGGCTATTTATTTATGCTGTAAACAGAGTGCAATCATAGTTATTATCTTATCTAACAACAGTATTACAAGTAGCAATAGATATTTACTCTAATATTATAGTTCTACATGATTAATCAATTTTATATTGAACATGAGATGAAGGGCTTCTCCGTCATAAATAAAATAATCTACTAACTGACATAATAAGGCGACTGCTTTGTTACTTTATTGTGTGTACATTTATTTATTGTGCTGAAACAATGTATGATAGGAAACAATCTAGGATAAGATTCTGTATAAATAGGTATAACATTATTAATATACTTAGTTAATGTTAATATTTTATATAGATACTTAGTTAATAGAGTAGTAGACCCTAAACGATACGACAAGTGTCAAGAAAGGTAATAACTAGTTGACCCGGCCTATTGTCCAGTCCTTGTTTCAAGAAGTTAAAGTAGTCGCTGAATACTATATACTGAAGTTTATCAAATTTTCGTAATTTTTCATTACGTAAGAATCTTCTACGAAGTATTAGAAAACAATTAAAAAAATAAATTAAATGAAATCGATAAAACTTGAGTAGTAGTTTTCAAGTTATGGCGTGCCCGAGCGAAATATGTATTAATTTTTATATTATATATATTATTAATAAAATGTAAAGTAAATACCATAAGTAGGTTTAATTCTAAAAAATAATTTTGATAAAAAGCTTTTTAATTGCAGTAACACCTTTATTGATTTGGACAGTAATTTTACAAATGGATACAGTAATATGAAGGCAATAATATTAATAATAATTAATACCAAAATGTCCTTAAAATATAATTTTTGGTAGCAAGAAAACAAATTGTCGGAAAAAAATTTCATGTGCAAGTATTCAATGTGACAAACTAGGCATCTATAGAAATATTTTTTTTATTTTCCGTGAACCCATAGATTTTATATTACGTATGAATAAGTTCAGTACCACGATAAAAAGGATTGATTGACTAGTATATATCTACATAATCAAATTATGTAATAAATTTACACACTGTCAAAATCATCAAGTAAATTTATACGCCATGTATAGTGATAACCACTTAAGTATTTCAACTAATTTCTTTTTTTGTTTGATAACTATTTAACGTTTAATTGGCTGCTATAATTGTTAAAATTAGTAATTGCTTTATTTTTATATGGCAACAATTTATAAAAAAAGTAACTTTTATGTTGTCGTTTTTTGGTAGAAGGGGTCACGACTCGTTTTTACATATTTAAAAAAAAATTAATTATCAATTAACAGAAAAGTAAATATCAAATCAAGAGATTGTTCCAGTGGAGAGTGGAGAGCATTGCGCTGCTGTTTTGGGCTCTAGAAAGGTAAAACCCATTTTTAAAGGGAAGTTTGGTCGAACTCAAACTAAGAAACCTATTCAGAACTGACCTATGATATGTTTCAATAATTACGTTTATTATTTTCATGGTTCTTATTAATAATTGATATTTAGTCTTGATATTACTATACAACAGATTAAAATTATTTTAATAAACATACTGTTATAACAAGAAATGTCATCCGGTTGTATTAATAACATTTTCCACGATGGTCTAATTAAAATGCTTTTGTTCTTATTTTTTCATTCTTAAATGCTCCTCCAATACACAGGTTTGAAGCAAACGAGATCACCGTGCTATTATCATCCATAAAATACCTATTTTCTTCTTTAATTTCATTCTTTAGCAGGTGAGCTTTGCTGTTTATTAAACTTTCTAATACATTAATAAATCTCTATAAAGAAGTGTTTCTATACAGAACTAATGAAGATTTATCAATTGAAATAGTTGTTCATTCATCTTAATAAAATGGCGCCAGTAATAGGTTTTACCTATTATACTAAGTTTTAGTGGTAATTGCGGATTTACATATGAATAGTGTAAATTAATTAATGGTCTAATCTTTCATTGAAAAGCATGTGTCGAAGTTTGGAATGATGAATGTCTGTGAAATGTTGATTTAGCGTAGAATGACGTCAGTGTGGTCAATTAATATCTTGGTAAAGAAGAGACAGGATTACGGCAGTTTATGTACTTGTACTGATATTGCAGATAACCCATGATTCTTAACAGCTTCGTATGGAACTTCATTTTTTTAATTGTTTAACGTTTTCTTTTTCTTTTCTAATATACTTAGATATTATGCTTTATTCATTCGTTTTGAGTTGCTATTCTTACAACTTTTTGGTGTTAGATATTTTTTTAACGTTATGTATGCGATATTTTCCTGAAAACCCAACGCATATGGATTATTCCTATTGCATCTTTCTTATTAATATTATAACGCGTACTATAAACGTGAGTATGGATGGATAGATGATAGATGTTTGTTACTCTTTCACACAAAAACTAATGAACGGATTTGGAGCCGTAGTCAGATTTACATATAGGCTATAAATTTCATGCTCGTGATACCGCTGGAACAGCTAGTCCGATATAATTTAATCTTATGTTGTTCATACTATTTAGTCTGGATTAGATTTCTGTCGATCAAAACATACTTGCTTACATTGTACTGTATGTATATATGTAGGTACTTATTCTTTCGTTACAACGTCGCAATGTTTCACATTCCAGTCATGGTACCAGAAATTTGTCGGTAGGGTAATATTTCACTGTCACACAATAAATTCCCTGCGCATCGCCTGTATATTAATACCAATAATTTTCAACTGTACAGATTAAAAAAGTATATTTAATCTGTGTAGAATATCACATGACTGTAAACTCAATAATTAGGGGTGAGTATTATTGTGTAGTGGTATACTTTGTCAGTAATGGCAAGTGGCCCATTGCTACTAATGCATGTTATTACAGTAGAAAATCCTATATTCAAACAAGTTTGTTTAAATTAAGTTTAATTTAAGCGCTTTTGAACAGATATTGAGATGAGGTTTTTTTTAATCTACCGCTCATTGGGAAAGCTGTTTCATCATTAGAAGAACGAGCAAGAAATTTGCGTGTTGATCTTTGAAATAACCGTTGTAAGTTTACACTTTTAGGTGGAAATGAGTGAATACAAATTATTCGGGTCAAAATAATAAATACACAATAACATTAAATCAGTCGTAGTGATTAGTGTTAGGAACTGTCATGCTAAAGTAGGTATTATCTGTGCTAGAACTACAGCATTATGTTTTGAGTGATCTGTGCCTCTCTCTCTCTCTGCGTTTATCAATGGTGCGTGACTCTACATTGTATTTTCTTTATAGTCATTAAAACATATATAAAGTTATAATAAAACTCTTTATATACACAGAAACCCATCATAACAATTAGAGCAAACTAGTTTTTACTGGAAGTGCTCGTTCACGACTACGAAGGATGAGCCAGTCATCACTGCTATATTAAGCCATATTAAGTTAACATCTACCTGGTTCTCCTAGAAACGTGGAACTTAATTCGTCATGATGAGTTACATGACTTCATTTTATCAACTGTATCTTTCTTTGATACTGTACTGTTAGCATCACAGTCACATTGCAATATCACAATCAAGTACAATCCGCAACAAACCACTCTAAGCAGTTTTCGTCGGACGTTAATGTATGTGTATGACTGGATTGATGATCAGATAATCCCATCAATTGGCTGGTCCTTGAGCTACATAGGATATACTGAGTTATGAGAAACTATGATCATTACTGAACTGCATATAGTTAGTTCGCACCCGCGTCGTTGCATGCGTTGAATACAGCCTACTTTACACAAACCATAATTGCATGAATATTCAAAGTCAGCAATTTTTTTTGTATTGGTCTTTTACAAATAGATATAATGAATTTAATCTCAATATTAAGTCAATGCAATTAATATGTGGTGGCACAATCAGAAAAAATACTAATGAGTCTCAACCTCACTTGGATTTGAACTCACATCTTCTTGTAAAGAAACATACAAACTCGTATGTTATGCTACAAAATTAGTCTTCCAATCACGGGGGATGGAATTCTAACAATTTATTATATTTAATATATTCTTATAAGTCTGATATTAATATTTTTAACACATTCTCAATTGTTCAAATTATTAAGAATATATGTAGTATATGATACTAAAATTAGACATACTAATTGTCAACGTCCATACCATGTTGAAAACACCGGTTCTCGTCCGATCACCGAAGTTAAGCAACATCGGTCGTGGTCAGTACTTGGATGGGTGACCGCCTGGGAACACCACGTGACGTTGGCTTTTTGTACATTTTCAAGTACTGTTATCGCAGGGTCAGCATATTCTTAATTTTGGTAATTAGTAATTATTATTTCTATTACTACAGTTTCTATTTGTTTAAAGGACATTGCATTAGCTGTTACTTGCTACTTATATGTTTGTTTTTACACAAAATCTGAACTGGCTTTCGAATTTATACTATTAGGTAGTATGGCCATATTTTTACATACAACCGAATTAAAAAAAATCGTCATCTATAGATCCATTTGTATATGTATTTGTATGTTACACAATATTTTCAAGGAATAAATATTATTTATTTAGTATTTTCGTTTCATTTGATAGCGTAGCTAGCAGGGGTTGTGTATTCTAACTTCTTATTTATTGGGTTTTGCCCATATCTCGAATCGTTAGACTGCATAAATTCAGTTAATATTTATCTAATGAGAATGTCGTGTAATGATTACTTTAAAATTTATATATCTTTGCTAAATATTTATTTGTAGTTATTATATATGTGGAACATTTCAATGTACGTAATATGTAAGTAGATTCTTGACAATCATAAAAAATTACATCATTTATTGCATCCTCTCTAGTGCCATTGACAGAAATGGCCAATAAATTGATTTTACGTTCACTTTGTCAAATGTCGTCAGCATGCGTACAGTTTTTATCTATTTCAGCTTCCAAGCAGTTTTTTAAGATGTGTTTTAGTTGCAGGGTGATAAAACAGTGACGTGACCGGATAACAGACATTATATCTCAATTCTCCGGAACACATGAGTGGTATCACGGTAGTTACATGATAACGTGATATGTTAGAATGGTTATTACTTACAATTAAGTGGTTTCATTTATTTTCCATTCTAATTAAAAAAAAAAAATACCTAGCTATCGGGAAGTAATAATTCTAAAACAACTCGTTCTGAACCGTATTGAATGTGATTATAGAACTCTATAGTCAGGTCGCTATTATTATTATTATTTTTTCCTTTATTACTACTGTACTCGGATTAATATAATTTGTTAATAGTAACCAGAGCAAATCATTATTATCTAAGGTTAAAGATATTGGTGATCTAGCAGTTTAGGACACCTCATTACTTATAGTTTATACTAGTAGGTTTAATCTGTACAGTTCAGGAGACAATAATTTGTATTCATGAGTATGATACTATTGCTATTTAAAAAACATGTATTTTAATATTTCTGTCAAACACAGTATAAATTCTGCTCAGGAAATACATGGTGTAATGTAGATTATACTGAAATATTATATATATCTTAAAATTTTGCAGATACGTATAGTTCGTAATGAATTCATGATATCACTGAAATAATATTTTATATAACTTAATCCTGTTTTATACTAATTGTTATTATATAACCTAATAAAAAGATTATGTAAAAAGTATTAATCTTTAAAAGTATCTAATTTTTGAAAGTTATTAAATACTACTTTTTCAAGCGTAAGATGAATATATGAGTCATATTATACTTACATAGTCATCATACGAGCGGATAATGCCTGATGATGACTGTAGACGCGTAAGAAGACACTGCTAATCC